AAGCTGAAAATAAAGTCGGTCATAGTTGCTCTAAGTGTCCCCAAGACTCCTTAACGTCCTCTCCTTGCATTCTCATTCGCAACCAAGATAGGTCATCGCAGTTACGAGAAGGGCCCAGGGTTTTTACGTAGACTCCTTCCTCCTTCCTCCTCCCTCTCTATGAACCTTCCCCTTCATTCGACCTCGCATTCCTCTCCTTTCTCTCTTTCCTCTCTTTTCCTTCGACCCCCTTGCCCATCAATCCTCCTTTCCCCTTTTCACTTCCCCCTTCCCTCTGTTTTCCTTGTCAGCCATTATCACGGAAGAGATACTATCGGCTGGAACAACTTTTCCTTGGTGAGATGCTTAGTTCTTCGGTTGGAGAAGAAAAAGTTAGCACGTGAGAGTCTGTAATGATACTTGAGAAGAGAACAGCGAAGGAATCTAACGTATCGAACAGAATAGAATGTCGAATGAATAGGCTTCAGACTCACGAAGGGCATTTTTTTAAACATAAGGTTATTTGTGTACTCGTGTCCGTCAGCCCGGGTATTATATCTTTTATCCTTCAGATTAGATACATGCATGAAAACTCCGGAAGAAATGTCCTGAAGATTATGAAATAAATTTACTATCATATCGCCACTCGGGGGATTTCCTTTGCAGCCGCAAGCATCGCTGGCTGCCCGCTGTCAGCCGCATTCATCAACGGCCTCCCAGTGTCGCGTCCAGCGCTATTGCTGGCCTTGTCCTTCGGTTCTTCTCTGTCTAGAGAGGACGGGAAAACTTGTGAGCAGTCAGCGTTTGAACGAGTCAGTCGCCCCTTGATATCGCTATTGGCGGCACTAGAGATGCACCGAAAATGTGAACAATTTTGTCATTTTCATAGCTGAAGTGGTCGCATATGTAGGCCTACACAGAGCACGAAACTACGTCTGCAGTATAAGTTTTCCCTCGTCTAATGACGGTTTACAAGCCATTAACAAAAATGGTGTGGTGCAGAGAGCATCGTTTTATTTGAATCGATTTAGTTTTAATGCGGTTCTCAGAAATCTAACCTGATGATAACCGCATCATTTTCTGATGGCTGTTTCAAAATACAACGATGTTTGAAGAGACTGTTTGTGTTTACACACAGAAACACTCTTTCTAAGCGGCGATTTGCATGTAGAGTTTCTTGGGTAAACCTCCTCCGCTTGACAATTTTTACGAGGTTGGGAAAAAGAGGGGCCTTTACGGACTCCACGTTGCAGTCTGGATATCTCTTCACGATTAGACTTCATTGGCAACATTGACGATGGGCAGGTCTAGGGTTTAGACACCTTGGAAGTCTGAACTTAGATGTTTTTCTTGGATTTGACGCAATCCAAACGCATGTTGCCTTTCTCAGGGTGGTGCCTTCATTAAAATGTGTGGTTTTTTTTCTGAGGAACATCGACATCTCCCAAAATTTATTGCTAGTTGGGATAGATTCCTCAAGCGATGCTCTCATCCCTTGAGTTTAATGAGCCACGTTAAACAAATTTGACCTTTTAGACAAGGGGAAGTCACCGAAGGCGAGCAAAGAAGGTCAGGAGACTACAATGCTCTTTCACTGGCGTAATTTAGCACTTTTTGGAATGGGCAGCAAGTCTATTCTCAAGAATATATATTCATTTTGCGTATCCTGGAATATAACTCCACTCAAAGAGTATCTACAGGGAAGAATACCAAGATCGATATTGTTGCTGCAATGAAGATCCTAATTACTTTTGCCATCACATATTTTCGTTCACCTTATCTTATTTTGGGTATATGAAAGAAAAAAAAATATGGTTCTGTCTGAGTGGATTCAATTCAAATAGGCCTATTAAACTTTTATTTGATTTTCTGTACAAAAGAAGCAGGCACGGGGATCGTATCGAAGTGAAATAAGCAAAAAATGAATGTTTGAATCAATCTTCTTTAAATGATTGTTATGCTGAGAAACAGTTAAACTTAACCTTTCATCATTTCATTCAGAGGTCCTGATTCTTTTAATTTTTAAAATTAGGTGTATGTTATCGAGTAAGGAAGTCCGCAGATGTGCAAGGGTGTCGGTTATACCTTGCTGCCCGAAATGTGTGCGGTTACCAAGGAGACGTTGAGAACTACTGCTTTAGTATCTTGGGCAGCGATATTAAAAGTGCGGCCCAGTTTCTATAGCAATGTAGAATGTTTTTTCAATGGTGTCCACTTCAGGTTGTCCATGTGGTCCTCACTTCAAAAAGTTTGAGGACCATTACTTTAAGGAAATTAAGCCGTGAGTAGCGATACTTATGTTTATTTCATAATTCTTCATCTTATTTTTAAAATTTTAAATCAAAAAATTTTTTTTTTTAGGAATACGCCCGATAACGCATCCTCTGTCTCATAGGTAAGGTGATAGATTCATTGGGTAAATCCGAAGATGGGTGGTCACGTTGAATCCCGCAGAATGTCCTTAATGATGGCTTCTTCCGGATTTAGGAAGTTTTTATTTCATATTTTGCTTTGTCAACTCCAATTCATCAAAAGTGTAATGTACTGTATATGTACAGTACATCAGAACCATATTTATTTATATTATATTTGGGATCCATGCGGACTCCAGCTTTGCCAGCAGAGGGTTCAGAGGGCGATGAAGTATTTTACAATGAACGGAAGCACAGGGACACACAACCGGTCAGTAGGGGGAGTTTTAATAAACTGACCGGTTGTGTATTTTTATGCTGCATGAAAGGATGTGAAGGTACACCTTACATGAGAGAAGTGACATTAGGTCTACGGAGCCCATGTTGAAGGTGGTACATATTCACTTGGAAATCACTGCACTGCACTGCAAGTGATTTTTTAAAAACCCTTTCCAACCAGGTCGAGCCGGACCTTAGAAGCCTCCACTTCCGCCGGTTTAAGTCTAAAATTTTCAGATGACCATCAGCCGCGTAGGACTCTACCAGGTAGATGTACAACAAATGGCTGCTGCCAGTGTAAGGGAAGTCGTGGGTGCTCGCGTAGGTAGGCTAATAATTTGCTTGCCCCTCGGGGTGGCCTAAACTATGCTTAGGCCATGGTTTTGATAGTCCTGATAGCCAGAAGGCTCAGATTCATGTGAAGGCCTCTAGTTCGCCAAGAGCCTATCTTCAGAGGCTTGGTATGAAGTTTAAACGTTTAGGCTCAGGCCCGCAATCTATCATGGGTCCAACTTTTGAGATTGGAGAGTAACCATAGGGCTGGCAGGCTTATGCTTTTCAGACTCTTATGAACACTCAACCTTAATACCGGACGCTGTAATGAGCGAATATGTCTCAGGATGTTCCAACCTGAACATTGAACCTTGATATATTTAAAAGCTATCGTATGTAGCTAGGCCTCGCGGCCTAGGCATACTTTTAGTATTTTTACACTTTGAATTTGAATTTCATTGCTCTCCATGGTGGATCTTAGATTTCCTGCAATGCAATACATCTGTCATCAATATGGTCAATGGGAACATATTATGAGTAGATGCTTATACCTTTACAATTCAGGGCAAACGGACCCATCAAATTCATGATCACAGTCAATTTAAACTAAGGTGTGGGACACATACTCATGCTAACAGCAGCGAATCAACTGCAAATGCAAGAGAGAGTTGGAATTTGGTGTATGAGTTCAAATTTTCATAAGTTTCCACTAGCAGATGTTGGAATTCTGAGAGTGTATGTATGAGGATTAACAGAAGTATATTTCTAATGTCATTAACCCTTCCATTACTGAGGGGGATCCTGGTGGTATCCCATGTCAAACTTTTCAATAAATTTCTACCTTTGTAGAAGATTAATTTATGCTGTTTTCTATCTGAGTGTGTGGGATTTTGATCTTGGCTGCACCAAAGTGATTTATTTTTACATTAATATTAGGATGGGGTACTTCAACTCCCCCCTCAGTAAAAGGTGATCATTGAAGACCTCAGTAACAGAAGGGTTAAGAAGGTAAGTGTTCCATGTCTTGCATCATCAGGATCATGATTAATTATCTATGATCTCAAGAAAAAATGAGCTGACTGATGAGAGAAAGAATTAAAGGTGCTGGAGTTAGCAATCTCCCTATGTGTGATGTGATGCTAAGCTAGAATTTTACAAATCTTATCTTTATTTTATCTTTAGCCTTGGCTTCAAGAAGGAAGAGAATATGCTTTTGAAGTAGAAGGATTTGAGAGCTATAGGGGGAAGGGTAAAGTCCTCAGGCAATGATGCCACCACATAGATGAGAAGAAACAAGAGCATGATATATATATATGTTTTTAAGATCAATGAAATAGGATACAGTGATAGAGACAGCAGGAACACTTGTGATATGGAAACAAATTTATTGTACTTCATGATTCCATAAAATATTGGAGTCAATCTAAACTGCAGGGTAATCATTGGGGAGAAGGTCAAGGTAAGACCCAAGTTAGGTTAATTGGCCTTGAGGTAGATTCAGAAATAGGTGAAGAGGTCATTGATAGAAATGGGAAAAGTAAAGGACCAAGAACTAGAATGACCATCTCTCCCAAAATTTCTGGGATACTCCAATAGCAATTTTGTAGGACTGCACTCCAGTCAAGGAAAGGTGTCCATTACACCAAGGACTGATTCTTGGGATACATTCACTGAATATCAATAGGTTCAGAGATAAGCATTTGGCAACAGTGATCTGAGTGTTGCACACTGGGGTATCCCACCCTTTTCTAAGTATTTGAAACTGAAAACTTTTTTACTATTTGTGATAGATTGATGAAATAATATATAAAAAATGTAGCTGAATATTTATACTATTGTTGATTTATTCCATGTTCCATATGATCACTAGTTTGTCTGTAAAACTTTCTCAAATTCAGGGTTAAAATCTCCACCGTTGAATGACACACTGCAATTCTAATGTGCTGGCAAGTCCTCTTGATGCATGCATTTTCCTGGAGATTCTTGGTTTCTTGAAAAACGAACTCCTTCACATGTCCAAGAGAAAAAGTCCATAGAGTTGATCTGAGGAATGTGGTGACCTACTGCTGATGGCTAGGGAATCATCTTGACAGCTTGATCTCCAAGTGCATAATGCAGAAAACCTTGTATAACATTTGCAGTATAGGATATATCAATATATCTCATCATCCTGCATATATGAAGGAGATGTACTATGCATATAGAATGTGTTGTGATTGAATTCTATCGTGACACATTCAGATAGTATGCCAAGTCAAGACTATTCCTGGACAATACTGGCACCACTTGGCCTCCACATTCCCCAGACCTGAACCCCTGGGAGTTTTTTTCTGATGATATGTGAAGGAACGTGTCTTCTGAGAAACATTTAGGCACCTTGAGTAAATGAACATATTATTTCAAAGGGATCTGTGACACATCATACTTTAAACTTGCTTGCAAATGGTGGAGAATTTCAGCCTGTGTTTGAGTAAGGTGCATCAGGAAAATGATGCTATACAGAATGTATCATGAGTCGATAAGGAAGTAGTACATGTTTGGCAATATTTTATTCTCATTTCATCAACTTATCATAATAGATGAAGAGTCATCACACTTTCCAAGTTCTTGGAGTTTGCTGAGAAATCCTTTACTTCATGGGTTTGACAAAAACCAGGCATCTGCTATCCTTGAAAAGTCACAGAATATTCCCAAAACTGGTTGGTTAGAATTAAGAAAATGATATTGGTGTTGGAGTAAGATAAGTAGGGCATCCTGGATTGATTAACTTCACTGGAAATTGAAAGCTGCAGAGAAAAGAAATAGATTCAATCAATAATCAATAAATCAATGAATTAAATTTAAAAATCCAATATTTTCCCCAATGCCCTTCTAAAGGCATTGGAGAGAATATTGGAGAAAAAAACATTCTTGGGTGGTAGTTTGAAATTGCATCCTGAGCTGCTTCTTTATGAACTTTAAGTTTGCTTGTTCTAAGATGGAGAAGAGGAAAATAAACACAATGAAGAATGTTTCAAGGCATTTAGGTTGCTTTGAAGCAGCATAACATTAGTGTTTGTCTTGATGTGACAATAGATCTTGATACCTTCAATAAAGGCAAGAATGGGAGATTCCACTGCCAAGGGAGGATTGCTAATATGAGCTAAGAAGAAATCATACCAAAGAATTGATATCTGGGGACACCACCTGTGAAAATAGTTTTTGTTATCTCAGGGATAACAGGAACAAATGCAAGATAACCTTGCCTCTCATCTAAGTTATATTCTGCCACAAAGAAATGATGGAATACAGGTGAATTTTGGTGAATCCCGAGACATGAGTTTGGAAACAAGTATATTATTAATTTAAAAAATCTTTATATGAAGGTTTTGACAAATTCAAAATTATGTTGACTGGATGGTAGCTGTTCTATGCTGCTGCCCTTTGCTTGGTATTTTTGAGTTGGTGAAGCTGAGTAGATCTCTTGTTCTTAATATAGCACCAAGTATCTTTTGAAACACTGCATTTTTGGCAGACAGCATAGTATCAAATAGGAAATTCTTTGCATTGGACTTCTTCAGCTGGGATCTATTGTACAGGGTGATTGTAAAGAAAGTTCCCCTGTTCAAAGAATCAGATCTTTTAAATGGTTTGATGCATGATTGTGAAAATTAATACGAATGCTACAGGGGCCACGGGGAAGACAATACAGTATGTGTCGTGTGTTGTCCACTAAAGTGAAAAAATGGTCCACTTACCATTTCTTAACCTTTTAACCTTTTCAGCTTTCACAGTTGGAAAATAGTGCTACTTAGATTAAGCATAGCATACTGGAATAATTTTCTTTATCATTCTAACAATATGAATTTCTGGAGAGGGTTCATAAAAGATTTCATTTGTTCAACCAATATCTAGGGGAATAGAAAGATTTGTATATAGATGCTGAAATGCCACCTTCTCAAAAACTTTAAATATTTCTCTCCCCACTTTTGTACAGGTATTCATATTTCTCCATCATGGATGATGATGATGATCGAGAAACTACTTGTGGCCTATGTCATCGTAGGTATTCAAGGCCAAGAGTTTTGTCGTGCCTTCACAGTTTTTGTGAGCAATGCATTGAATTTCATGCCGAACCAGAATCAAGTGGAGATAGGTCCATCACTTGCCCCAGATGTCAAGAGAGGACTATTGTGAGTAATATGCACATTTCTACTTTTTCAGCTGAAAAAACTGACATATCAAAACATATATAAGTTCTATGGAAAAAAAAAGACCCAAGAGCACATTTTTCTTTTTCCTTGATTTCTTGGATGCAATCATCCTAGAGAATAAGATTGACTTGTAGCATATGACAGGTAGCAATTCTACTAATTTAAGAATAGTAGTAACAGCCAATTCGACTCACCACCATGCTTTGTGGGATACTTTCATTAGAATCACAAGTCATACTGCCCCTATTGTTTTGGATGAGGACCAGTCTCTTTTTTTTTTTTTTTCTTGGGTGTTCCTGTGCATAGCCCCAGTATCTTTTGCTCTACCATGATGCCTATTATTATTTTAAAGGAGATTCCATACCCCTTAATTCATAGAAAAATTTGCTAAGGAGTCTGGAACATTAAGTGCCAAGGTACCACATCATTTGTACTAGGGAACTGGTAACCCAGGAGCAAATGCACTCCCGTAGGAACTTTTCTCAAATATTTGATATTGCCTTCAAGAACTTCCATACATGCATGCTTGGATAGAGCTCCTGACCTGGTGAGGACATCACAAAAGTATGGTGTGATTTGTTTTGAGATGTACTTAGTTACTCTTATTCATTGACCTCTACTATAAGTTAATTGAGCTTCCTCCAGATATGTGCCACCATGAATGAAAGAGAGAGACTGTATTATTTCCTAATTTTTTAGATTCAATGATCAGATCTAGCCTAGACACATGGTTACAAAATGAGGATCAGCCAAAGTGCCTCTGGCATGAGCAAGAGTCATTATCATTTATTACATCCCCATATCTCTTGATAGTGGGCCAAAGAAAGTAGCAGCTAAAAGTTTGTCTGTCTAGGTAATGTCAGCCTGTTGAGCCATACTCTACTGTGAGTGATGTTCACATTTGACCTGCTTGTGAGCCTGTACATATCCTGTAGTTCATTCCAAAATCCAAGGTTCTAGCCAAAATATTTCTTAAATTGGGTGAGCCCCTCCATGGATCAATCCCCCCACCTCTTATTCTTTCCCTTCCAGCTTTAGCAGAAATGAAAAGCAGAATTGTACTGAGACATTTATATGGAGGCAATGTCACATCTTGGGTTGTCCACTCAATTGTTGCTTAACTGCTTAAAGAATTAAAAGAAATATCTAGCTTCTGCATCCTATAATATTTTAATAATCATTCTTTGAGTGTACCAAAAATTCCCCAATTTCGGTGGCAATCTCACTCCTCGCCAGATCCGGAAATCCGGAACAGGGGGACTATGATAACATACATAGTCTGGAAGGGCTTGATCCAGGGAGGTTGCTGGTGTATAGTTTACTCTGTTTTGAGCAGTCCTTCCTACTTTTCTGCCCACCGGAAGTTGACCCATCTTACCACCACGGTCATGCCTATTGACAGTTATTGGATTGGCTGCGCTTTGACCTTTCGACTTGACTCGAAGAGCTCTGGGCCAATCTGCACTGCTTCCGGGGGTAGTTTGCTACTCATCCTTCCCTATCTTCCACATTCCACCTTTGTCTCGCGATCCTAGCAAGTATCTTCTAGCGACAAGTCATGACTCGTGACCTTTTTGGCTTCTTGAGCATCTCTGCTTCACATTCAAACGATTCCAGGACGTTCTGCCCGCCAAAACGCTTTTTTTTTCCTGTTCCAGTATTTCTATACGATGGCACTGTAGAAAGCAGGACGCCTTCATCTTTATTTTCTTCCATCATGTTGTGATTCTTGCCCTTTCTGCACTTATTGAGCATCTCCGTTCTCATTAGGACGGTTCCAGGAATGGTTCAAAACACTTCCTTCCTCACGGTCATCGAAGTAGAGAGCGATCCACTCGCTACGTCGTTGACCGTGTGCTCTCTAAACAATTGGAGATGTCGAGCAGGAGTAGGTCCAGCAACAAAGGCGAACTCTGTCGTCGCGCCTACTGTGAAGGCCATGACCAAGTCCACTGTGTTGTAAAACTTTCTGCCTTTTTATCCCCGAGAGCGATGACCAAATCTCTAGAAGGGAAAGACCACCGTTAGATTCCCCATATCGCAATGCCTATTCTGTCAAAGTTTCAGGTTTGTAGAGAAATTTCCGGATCTGTCTTCAGTCCGGGGTGCCACCAAGCGTGGTACACTTGGCTCAGAGAACGGTTGTTAAAACTACCGGTGCAGGGCGTGCTTTGTTGGACTGGTGGAAAATCTTGATGCGTCCATTTCACCAGTCAGAGCAGTGTGGAATGGGTAGACCAGAAAATTGGCAGGTAGAGGGAGTGTCTCATAAGTGTTGGAGGAAGAAAATGCAGCAGGGAGGGGGATGGAAGGAGGAAGAGGGGAAGAAGGTCTTGCTTGACGGCAATCCTGTGTGCCCTTTTTTTTCTTTCTCTTCTCCAACCTAATTATTGACATTTTTTCTTCCACCGATCTGCAGTCCCCGAATCTGCCTCTGCCCCTTGTTCTGAGGTCGTTGCCACATCCCGCTCATTCCCGAGAAATCGGCGAGAAAAGAGTGGAGATAAGGAGAAAAAAAGGAGACACGTGCCTGGGAACATTTCACGTAAAAAAAATATCCTACCCTCGCAGCTCAATCCGGTTTGCCTTCTGCACGAGTGACATCCACCTGCAGTCTGAATTCCCCAGAAAAGCTGGAGATGGGAGGAGAAAAACAACTTCATTTTCGATAGAGGGAAACCTAGAATGTTCGGGTCCGTGGTTCTTCGCAAGTGAAAAACAGGAAATTCTCTATCCGTTCCATGTTTTACTGTTCCTGAGAAATCGGATATTTCATATCTCCACACTTTCCTACGTGGAGAAACCCGCACCGTCTGGTGTCTTGCTACCTTAATCCTCATTGTCATTCATGACGTTCGCGAGCTGCCCTATTGTACACATGTCCTCAACTGCCCGACCCAGTGCATAGAAACCTTTCCCATATTACAGTAACTGTGCTTCTCTTGGCAGTTATACATTATTTCAGTTGCCGTCGGGTGAGGATTTGCTTAAGGGGAAAGACTGCTTACTCCAAGGTCAGTACTGTTTTTCTCTAAGTGGCTGTGCGTTAAATCGGGCGGCGAATTTTTGAAGTGAGTGGCAATGGGAAAAGAGTCATACCTGGGTGAACCGTTGAGTTAAAAGGTCTGGTCAAACCCTGCTTTCCATCTGCATTACAACTGCATTAATATCTACTTTAAAACGTAAAAACAGTCTCACAGGCCAAAAGTCATCATCACAGTGCTTGAAATCTTTCGAAGATCTTTCAAAGTTTGAGGCTGCCCCGTCTTGCCTGTATCAGTTGTCATAGGAATTGCAACCCATTTTTTGGCAGCTTCAGAGTGTTTGCCCGAAGAACATCAAGATGGAGAGCAAAGAAAGTAATATTAGTCTTTCATTGTAGACGGAGCAAGAGGCAAGAATCTCTAATAGGCAAGAACTCAAAGATCGGGCATTTTTCAATTGTAAAACGTTAACGGATGAAGAATGTCAATTAAGCCCAGCAAAAGCAGACTTAAAGCATCAAGATCTTAATTTCAGTTCCAAATCAAAATGTATCAAGTGCAAGCTCCCTATTAGAACTATATCCCATTGTTTAAGTACATTTGCGTTATAGTAATTGCCTAATTTAATGCATTTTTTCCTTAAAGCAATTCCTTTTATTTCTGTTCAAATTTTCATTTGGAGTGATTTTGGTATGATGGATGTGTCTATTTTTTTAAATTGTAGGACCTTTTTGCTAAACAGAGGTGTCACTACATGAGGCTTAAATCCTGTACTGAATATGGAGTTTCCTTAGTCCTGGAAACCCATTAGGGTTTCAATAAGCCTGGAGTTGTGCTACCCTCTGTTTAACAAATAGGTCCATCATCTCCAAAACTTGCATATTTCCAGGCCATTGAATATTTTACTCAGGAAAGGTAATTTACAGGGTTGCAAGTTTCTTTTAATGCAAAAACTTCAACTAATGGTAAATGATAATGACTGGCAAATTGTGCTGAGAAAGGGAGTGTATGATTGGAAATCTGGGTTAGTACTGTATTACATGATAGGAAATTACCTTTATCTCTTCAATGTTCCATGTTGACAGATTCATATGAAAGTTATTTTGATTTTAATGAAAAAATATTTAAATCTCCTTTGAAGCAAAAGCCAAGCTCTTATACAATTACTAAAAATTCCTGTTATCCCTATTTCTTTTTCAATAGCCTTGTAGATGGGGGTTGGTAATTAGAATGATGTTGAAGGAAATGATCTTTTCTGTACATGACTGCATATATATTACTTTGATATGCATTGAAGTTATGAAGTAAGTAGCCTCAAGCTATGACCTCCTATACATTTGAAGCTTCACATATTGTTCCACCCTCACAGTAGACCATAGGGGAGCATAATTTTCCTCCAGATAAAGATTTTAGAGTAGTCCAGCCCTGTAATGGCAACTTCTCATTCCAAAGGTATTCCAAACCTTATGATGTACTCTAAAGGTCCTTATGAGCTTAAATTTGGCATTGACACAAGAATAATCTATACTCTGCTTGATGAAATCTCAGTATATCCTGGATGAATTCTTGCTATTTCAAAAATATTCCATCTCAAGATATGTATAGGCATGTGTGGGACTAAAGTCCCAGAGGGTCCATTTCTGTTAGAAGATAAGGTCAAAGTTCAAAATGTATGCATATCTAATGACATTTTAACTCCAAGCAGTCACTACCATGACAATCTTACTCTTACTTATAGAACACATTAAACTTTCTGTTCCCCTCCAATATGAGAAATTCTGAATTGAAAAACAAGCCTGCTATCAACTCCAATATCTAGCCTGATCTCTGTGCTTATTTCCCCCTCCATACATTTTGCCCTTCATTTATTTATTGCTGTACTGTGCATTTGCTCTGTGAATGTTTTATTGTTTTACTTGCATTCATTTTAAGTTCTTCCTTGGATATTTCATTTTCCTCAATCTTTGAATATTTTCCCTCCTATCTCTTTCTTCACCTTTGATGTTCTTCATCGTATCTGACTCTTTTAATCATACTTTGAATCAGTCAGATATAATGAAGGGAACCTTGTGTCCTTGAAATGTGGGTTTCCTTTCCAATAATGAATTTTCTGGTTTGAGGTACCCCTTTTGAGCTTAATTTTAATTAATTTACCTTTTATATTAATGGATACAATGAACTACAATTCCACTTGTTTTCAAACTTTGATACCCAGGTGCCAGGCTCCAAAAAAAAACCCAGTGGTCAAATGGTTAAATTCTCAAGATTTTCATTGCCCTTCGTTTTCAGAACCAGTGATTGAAAACAAAACCCTTTTAAAGGCAAGTGTGCTTGTTAGTGATACCTTGTAAGTCATGTAAAAATACCCTTTATTCATGTTGATTTGATGTGGAATAACCCTTATAATTTTTTTCACGCTTTATTTTTCCTTTGATTGCTGTCTAACCCAAGTTTTGATCATTACATGAGTTGACCAATGACCAATATCCTTTCATCTGTCATAGGCGAAAGAATCTTTCAGAAAAATAAAATGAAAAGCTGGAAAATTCAACCAAAGATGAGCAAGTGAAGGAAAAGATGACAGAATAGGCTTCTTTGTCATATTGTTTTTGACTTGAAACAATTTTCTCCCCTCTCATTCACTCTCCATTGTCACTTTTCATCTCTGAGCCTATCCAGGGATCTTCTACATAATTGAAATACTTTTCCTGAGAAATTAAATTGCAGATTAGACTTTTGATGCCTTTCATGAAATCATTGATACCAGAAAAGTAGGGAGAAATAAAGTATTATATGTCTGGACTTTTCATGCCTGAGTACTGATAGCCTAGGATCTAGGAGCATCATAACTTTTGGAGTCTAAACCTTTGAAATTTGTGTTTGAATGAAAGTGATATATTTTGTTCTGATTCATTCTCTATGGAGGAGAAGCAGTAGGCCTGCAGTCATGGTGGAAAACTTTTTCATTGTCTAGACCAGGGGTGCACAACATACAGCCTGCCATGACTGATGATGTTCTAAGTGCTACTGTGGCACCTGCCCCATTGGCCACAGCTATGGTCAGCCAGCTGCGACCTGTGGTAGGTGAGCAAAAATTGTAAAATGGCCCTCACAGCCATTTGAGTTGTGCACCCCTGGTCTAGACTCGCGAACAAACATGCTTGTACCAGAATCATAATGGAAACAATTGTTCAGGCAGAAGCTTAAAAAAAAATCCATCAGTTTTTGGATGCAAAAATACATTTTTGTTTTTTTTTTGCTTTCTCAGTTGAGTGGTATTGGAAGGCATGCATCTTCACTGCCATTTGATTCAATCACTGCAAATCTTCTTGACTGGGAAGCTGTGAAGAAGCAGACTGCCAGGTGCAGCCAATGCACAGATAATGAACGGAAACCTGCAAGAGGGCGATGCTCTGTCTGTAGTTGTCTGCTCTGCGAAGACTGCTTTACTGCTCATCAAGTAAGTGTGATTGCCTTAGATTCTGTTCAGCAGTGGGCTTTGCAACATGATTCTAGCATACCAATACTGTTTCACCTTGAAAGTAGGCTCCCATTCCCATTCAGCAGGTACCTTTACCCAATGCTATGAGCAATAGCTTGGAAGCAATCGAAATAAATAAAATAGTCATATATGTATGCGCAGGGTATTTACAAAGTCTCTTGAGGAAGTTACACATCCAAAATGTTTACACAGTCCCTTGAAGTTACACGTCCAAAATATCAGTATGTACTCCATTTTCTGCACATAACTGCATTCTTTGCCATGTCTGCTATGACATCTTCCTTAGATTTTCAGGCTGAATTCTAAATAATGCATCACTTCCTCCATAGAACAACTGCATAAGGCAAGGGAATGTAAATATCAAAGGACTTTGTGAACACCCTGTACATAATAATATGCTACAGGGTGAGCCAAGATAACCCTAACTATGTTCCTTCTCCATGTTATGCTGTAAAGTCCATATTTTTAGTTGACATAAATCTTGTGTTATATCTAGGATTGGCCCAACTTGACCCATATGAAGCTTAAAATTTTTTACCTGAGGAATTAAAGTGCAAAAGTTGCTACCTTAGGCCCAAGACTTCCAGTAGGCCTTTGTGAGTTTTTAAAATTTTTATCAGTTCATTGTGATGGTCCTTTCCATTACCATTTGTGGTACTAATGAACTTCGCTGTGAGGAGATTTAATCTTCTTTCATAGATGTACTGCTATGTTGTTATTTACTCCAGACTGAAGAAACTTTCAGGGGTCACCGTGTGGAACCTTTGCCACAATATTCTGAATCAGTGGAGGGGAAACTCCCTTTCCATATTGCTGAAACTTGTCCTCTTCATCCTAATCATCGTCTTTCCTTCTACTGCCTGGAATGTGAGGTTAGTCCAGCATCAAACTTTTGTTAATATGCTATAATGCTATTAAATTTCAACTGTTTTAAACTAGGTTGATGCAGTTTATATACACCCTGCTGAATCTCTTGATGGAAAAGGAAAACAATGCTTGTTATAAATGCATATCCTAGTCCATTGCATAATGTGACTTGAGTCTAGCACAGAAGTGTTCAGCATGATTAATTTTACCGCAGAAAGCCATGATGACCATGAGTTCAATAATACAGTCAATGCTCTTTCTGTAGGTACCAGCATGTGACCAGTGTCGATATTCTCCTCATCCCTTTCACTTGCATCGTGTGGAGCCTCTCATCGAAGCTGAGAAAGAGCGACTTCAGAGAATGAGACTATTACAGAATGAATGTGAAATGAAGGCTCATGTCTGCCAAGAAAGTCAATCTACTCTGGAGAATTCTCTAACGGAGCTACAGTTCCAAAGGGAAAACACAAGATCACACATTGATGAAGTTTATCAGGTGATTAGTATCATGCAAAGCCATTTCTTCTGACCTTTTCCTGTATAGATTACCTGTGTAGGCTACTTAGCCAAGTGAAGTCAAAGAATAAGTTTGATGGGCACTCCTGTTTTAAGGTTGCTACTTGAGTTCAAATTTGTCATATAGGATAACTTGTTGCCATATCAATGTATTCTAATCAATCTCAGAGCTATATTTAGGTCTTAGGAGAGTTGCTTGACTTAGAATTGATGAGCAGCCATGGGTCATTTTCATTATTGTTATTTATGGAACCAGGTTGCAGGCAAAGAGAGGATGTACGTTGAGCCCAAGAAAAAAAAGTTGTTCCCTTGCCTGCTTAAATTGATATACTCATTTCTTATGCCTTGATTGCTCATTAAACTGTTAATGAATTTGTATTGGGTATGTGTGTCATGGGCAGGAAGGTTATGGGGTTCTACCTTTGGAAATTTAAAGGTGTGGGCCAAAAAAAATATATATATATTCCTATTAAGACATCAGCAATTTATTAGGAATATCATCATAAGGAAAGTGCATGCTTATTAATTGTTGCCTGCTCTCACTTACCTTAAATTCCAAATAATATGATGAGAGCCCTTGCTGACTGAACTCAACTGAGGTAGTCATTGCAATAATAATACATTTTTGTCCTCTTTTGGTAGTCTTACCGGGCAATCCTGGAAGAACAGAAAGAGAAGGCCCTTGCGGAATTGGAGCAACTTGGAAGAGAGAAGGAACTCAGAATCATGGAAACACTGAATCAGTGAGTTACAAAGCAGTGTATGATATGATGTGTGTCGCATAACCAATGGCAGTCATATTGAACTAAAGACACTAGGGCACTGCTAAAAACTTTGAATATGACTTGACATTTTTTCAAATTTTCATGTTTCAAGCGTTATTGTACTAGGTGTAATACAATTTGGAAAGTGTAAAAGGACTTAGTGCACTCTCTGCAATATCCCAAAATTGCTGTCACATTTTCATTTTTTGTTTTCTAAGCAAATTGGTTCATTATATTAATAATTAGTGGTTTTTATTTCAAGAGGTAATCAGAATGCTGTCCACTGTTTTTGTTATGAGGATGCCCTATACCCTATTCCTTTGCTTACAGCAAGAAAATGGGAAAAAATGTGACAGGAATTCTGGGACTTGACCAAGAAGGAGTTGAGCGGTCCAGATGAAATTTGGTACACAAGCTTGTACTAGCATACTATGAAATTGATTAATGTTTCAAGTGTATGAGATGCATATTAATGGAGAAAACTTGCAATTAATCAAATTTCAATAAAGGCAATGGGGTCATATTAATTGCCTGAAATGGTTACCTAGAAGGCTTCCACTGATGAAATGTGACAGGAAAACTCATAAAGAAGTGCGGAAAAATCTAGGAAGGTTTTGTGGTTGTGAGATGTGGCAATGCAGAGAAAATGCACTAAATGCTGAAGGAATTGGGACACATATATCGTCTGCATACATTAGGCTAATGCATGCTTCAAATTGCTGCATGGTAAGCATCCTGATGGCCCTCCACAGATCAAACACCCTCACAACTTGTTGGAATTGCTTCCAGAGATTTCATCTTGGCACTGCCTCACAGTTAGACACTCAACAACAGTAAAGTGGCTTGAAATACAGAGAAAGGAAGCTTATGCATTCAATGGCACTGCCCTCTTCCCCAATTCCTCTGGCATTTAGGAAGTTTTCTCCACATTGCCTCATCTCAAGAACTCAAAACTTTGCTCAATTTTTTTTCTCATTTTTAGGAGTTTTTCTGCCACATTTCATCAGTAAAAGCCTTCTAGATAACTGTTCCGGGGATTAGTTTTAACCCATAGCCTTTATGAAATTGGATTAATTGCCTAGTTTTCTCCATTAATATTCATCCCACACACTTGAAACTCCAATCAATTTCATAGTATGCTAGTATGAGCTTGTGTACCAAATTTCATCAAGACTGCTGAACTCCTTGGTTGTGCTTTTTTTTTGCAGCAATGAGTATACAACCAAAAATACAAGATATTAAATTGATGTGCATTGTATTTTGGGCTATATTCAAAGTTTCACCTTAATGCACATTGTAAGGCATATGTGTGTTTATTGGATAACATCTGTGTATGAGCCCATGTATCATATTTACAGAAAGTCTTGCACTGTTGTAAGGCGGCACACAGCTGCCCTCCATCAAAGTGATATAACCTGTGGGCAGCATACTGCTGCCTTCCATAGTAAAAGGGATAAATGCTGTGTGCATCATTTTGGTCATTTTTTGTTGTTAGTAGTTGACCACGCAGATAGATTCTCCTCCTGCACATAGATGAACAGCATGAATTCCTTTGAAGCTGTGCTAGTTTTCTTAGGCAGTGCCTTAAAATGACAACTTTATTAAATGAACTTTCCTCCTGATAGGGTTGGGACCATTCAAGAGAAATTGGAAGATGCCACATCATTCTCCAAACGAGTTTTGGAGAATGGTTCAGGTCTTGAAGCTGTGATCCTTCAACCAACTGTTTGTATGGCTCTCACAAAACTCAGCAATGACTTCCCTGCTGTTGAGATTGACACCAGTTTGGACTTCATTTCTGATGTAGATGGCTTTCGAGTTGCTGTCAAGGTGAGTTTATGCCATCATTGTCCATCCTTGAATCATTTAAGCAAGTGTGCATTTTCCAGAAACTGGCTGGAGAATTCCATGCCAAGTCATAATCACACCCTTCTAGAATTATTTTGGTTGAGATTTTGAAGAACAAGTTTTTTAGGATTGGGATGCATTAGAGATAGGATGATGGTCTTCCTTTTTGTTGAGACATTTAATTAACTGGGAATCTATAAAGACCGGAGAAAACCTATATAATGTTGAGGAAGAAATGAAGAGAGCATGAAGTGTTTAACCCCTTAACTGGGAACTTTTGAAGGCATATGTGCGGTGATTCCATTGAGAGATGGCAGGTGCTGGACCGCACATATGCGGCGAGTCCATTTAAGGGGTTAATGAAACAAGCTGTTACCTGACTCTATAGGGGAATCAATGGAAAGTGTCTCTGAACCTAGGAATAGGAAGAGTAGGAATGCTCTGCTGGCTAATCAAGCCCATCTCAGAAGGGTGTCATCAATATGGATTTGGGTCAACTGGACAAATTGAACTACTGAAGGTTGACAAAATGCATTGAGCTAGTGACATTTGTGCTGTCTTTTTGGGATATAATCTAACATATGCTTGGCCTAGTATTCAAGGGAATTTTTCCATTATGGGGTTTGTAGAGCAGGAAAGCAGGAGGGGGGGGGGGAAAGATGACATTGCTAATTTATGTATTACACAGCTATTGATTAAACTTTAAAAAAAATCTCAAAAGTTTTAAAGCAACCAAGAAAATAGGTTTTTTGCTACATTTGTATGCTTCTGTAAATGTTTTTCTTGACTCTGTCCTTTTCCTACCATGATATTGAGTGAAGAGAAAGGACTGTGACCCACAATTGCTTTGTTTCTTTTGTTATCTGCTCCAGGAAACATTTGGTCACATCCGGGGGGAGCGTGTTGCAACCCGGTTGAGTAAAGACAGTGCTGAATCAAGCCTACCATCAACTTCTTCACCTGCAAGTGATGTGATGGGATTCTCACTTGGACTTGGTCTGCCACGTGAAGCTCTCACCCCTCTTCCCAATCACTCTCCTCCAACTCTCATCTCTGCTTCAAAATATGAGCAAGACTCCATGCTCTCCATGCCCTTCTCCGACCTGTCTCCCAATGGCCGCAGTGATTTTGTTCCTCAGCAAATGGGCTATTTGCAATACAACCTTCAGAAACTTGCACTGTTGGAGCAGACAAGTACCAATACCAGTACCAGTGGACAGGCTGCTGCACATGTGCTCAGACAAGGATCAGAGTTGAGGCCAAGACCTGGATCAAGAGCAGAGCTTGATCAAGAAACCAGTTTGATTCCTGCACCACGTTCAAGACCATTGGGAAGTGATATGCCCAATGCATTTGGTAACATGGATCTCATTGATGGATCTAGTCAAACACATGGGTTCAGTGCCTTTGGTGGGATCCAGAATTTCCCTAGAATTCCCTCGCCTATCTCTACCCAAGGTACCTTTCTCTCCTGGCTTCACTATTGCTGGTCATGAAGGCTATATATATACTGACCTGTAGCTCTTGCCATACTTTAAAGCCAGTTGTAATGGTACAGGATAATCATGTTCCTTCACCAGCATGTGTCACTGGAACCAACTATGGACTAAGCACCTATGAAATTAGGAGGGACACAATAGTACAAAATAGTGCAGGTTTGCTGAAGTTCCACAGCACATAAGAAAATCTTTCCAAAAGTATCTTAATCAAGAAAATCCCACCAGCCAGTAACACATTCATTGTAGGACCAAAATGCCTGTAGGTATACACCATGCTCTGTGAGTTACCCATGACTAAATGGGCACTGTAATTGACTCTGAAAAGTCAAACTCTTTCCAGAGCCTTACCAGAGGTTTCACTCTTGAGGAAGTGTGGCACAGAAATGAGAGCAAAGTGGCAGCTACTGGGTAGCCCAGGAGAGTGTATCTTGGTGGACCAATGGTGGAATACCTCTCACTTGTTTCACAGTGGCTGTCTGCCTGTAAAAAGATGCTAAAAAGGCTTAGTGCAATTATTTTACTTAGCATATATTTATCTTAACTTCTTTCTTAACTATGCCTATTGCAATTATTCTTAGGATGCTATTTAAACCCATTGCCATGTTGTTTCTCTTGTCTCTTACAATCTCTCTGAAAGTCATGATTGAAGTAGTATCAGTGAAAGTTCCTCACGAAACTCTCGACTTTAATATGCCTGAAGGAAAGGGACATCAATAAAGAGGTGGGGTTATTTGATCCTGCTAATCCTTGAGTACAAAAAGTCTTGGATGAGAGTTTTGTGTGATACTCAGGAACCTTAAAAAGGATGGCGTCAAATGTCATCGCAACCCATATTCTTAGGTATCTCTGCAATACCTTTTTTTTTCCTATTTTCACTACCTCAGGGGATCATTTGGCAGGAGCCTTTCAAGGAGCAGGGAACATCCATGAAAGCCTGCTTGCATGTCCCTTTGAGTATGGCCCTATGTTGATTAGGGAAGGCTTTGCTCTTGCAAGTTTATGTGCATGGAAGGTCCCTCACAGGAGAGTGGCACCCAGTTTTGCATACTCACATGAAAATAAAATAACTCTAATTCCTGAAGGATTCCTATGGACAGAGGTCATGCAAGGAAAAGAAGCAAGTAAATTACCTAAGTATGAATGCACTCTTATTGGTAAACACTTCTCATGAGATACTTTAATAATGTTCCTTTTAGTCAATTAGAACAGACTGCCTTCAATCCTAAAAATTCCCTGTTAGCCAGCCCTACTTTTTTCATGTGGCACATGGGACTGACCAACAGTGGAGCAACCTTCCTTACATGACTTTAAGCAGTATTATGGCATAATTTGCAAGAGTGTTAGGACTGGCTCATGTCAGAAATAATTGATGTTGCACCCTTGACCTGATGACTATTGGGCAGAGGAATGAATTCAGGAAGTTAGGTCTTGGTTTACTCTCTTCCATAGGTGATCTCTCCAGTCCTTTATCATCTGTGATGAGTGATGCAAACCTGGGGGCAGCCCTGTTTCAGAAAGGTGCTCTACCTCCACTGCCTCTTACAAGCAACGGCATTCATGCGACTCCACCCCCTACACCTTCAGTGGGGAATTTCCCTTCCCCCAATTCCATGGCCCATTACCCTGGGTCTCTTCAGGCAAGTGGGAGAATCAACAATGCCCCAGGTAAGAACTTTACAGATAGGAATATGTCTACTTCATGCCAATACTTTTCCTTGTGCTAGCTAGTCCTCTTTATTTGACATGAGAGGCATATGAGCTCTACTGTAAAAAATTCTAACAGTAATTCCCTTCCATCACCTTGCATGTTGAACATTATAGCATTTGAGTGCTAATGCTACATAGTTTTGACTGAGCATTGCTTGAAGAGAATGGGTCTCCTTAGTCCTTTGTATGCATTTGTCAGAACCTCTTAGTTCAACAAGAACACTATATTGCTATCGGCATAGGAAAAAAATATTTTTTTTGCAAACCTGAGGCAACAAATTGGAATTTCCCAAGAAGGATATACAAGTGGAATAAGCAGACTTCCTGTCTGTGCGTCTCCATTCCCGTGAAACTTGTTCGCAGGTTTGCAAGGGTTTTCCTAACCTGATTGCTATTATAGTTGATGGGTTTTGCCATGGTGCATTCATATGTTCAATCTAAGGAAAATTAATAATGCCTTGTATGGACTACTCACTTTTAAACACACATTAAATATAAAAATGTATAAGCTAAATTATCTAGATGAAAGGTGGATGTTTATTATTTTAGGAAGATTTTTTTTCAGGATTATAATAATTAGAAAGTGTATAATATTATGCAGTGGATTGTCTGTGTGGACAGACAAATTTGATAGCTTTAAGAGGTCAATTTAAAAAAATGCACTGAAGTCCATGCTATATGACTTAATGGCAGAATGGATATGATTGAAAATACACTTAGGTATGCCATGCCCTCTGTGATCTTGCCATGAAAAGGATGGAAAAGGATGATGACAAGAAAGGCACAATATCACATCTTAGAATGTGAAGCATGAATGTACTCAGGCAAAAGAGGCTTGATGCCACAAAATATACTGAAAATATTTCATCCCTGTTTTAGAATTGAGCACCTAATTCCTGTTTTGTACAATCAGTTTGCTATTAGGTGCAGAGGTGAACATTTTCAATTGAAAATAATTATTAAAATTTATTGAAGGTATGTTATCAGTATTTTGACTATCAGACTATCAGCTGTTTTGAAAGGTTATATGTAAGCACATTAAGCCAACAGTGAATAGTTTACATTTCTGTGCCAGGTTTTTTTGTGTGTGGTGTCACTTCATGAAAAAGTGTTTTTTATTCTATGGTTTGAATCAGCAATAAGATTTGAGTGTGGATTTTGTCTGTAAGAAAACACCATTGGATCAAAGAGGAATCAAGTGATGGCTTGACAAATTCATATAAACTGGAACATTCTAATGCCAGCATACCAAAAGTGCCACCAAAATTGTATTAATGTGTATTCAATCAAGTAGATCAAGTGCTATCAAGTAGAAATTTCCTAAAACTTCAAGGAACACATTCATATAAAACTCAATCTTTTCAAAACATTTCAAATCTGGCACTGTTATACACCCTATATGATGCTGATTAAGAATTTAATCTTCCATGCATTTCACTCATCCTTACAAGATATTCTTTGATGGCCTGAAGAGATCTAGGAGAGATGCAAGAAACAGATGATTCCTACTCACTCAATCTATATGTAGGTTCATCCAGATGAGAAATGAATTTAGACCTTCTCTATCTTTTTTTTTTTCTTGAAAATTGCTCTGGTAAAGTATTTTCTTAAATGCTACTGTGATATCAATGAAGGCATTGCATTTCAGTTTATCATTTTATTTGTTAAAGAAATGCATATTCCTCATGACATTGTCATCTGACAGTCTTCAAGTTGATTTTCATATTCAAAGTCATCCATCATTTTGTCTGATCCATCATGGCTTTGATCAAACTGTGAATCTTTTAGGGCAGTGAGTCATTCAGCCAGAAAGCAATGGCATGTGATTCAGATGGCATATTGGATTCTCTTGCACATACTTTGATTGGTATTTAGATGTTCAAGAAGTTGTTATTTGTTACACCTTCTGCTTGTTCGACAAGACATTTGTCATGCAGTGACCTTTAATGAATGGTATCCAGTGTCCTTACAGGAAGTATGCTATATTTATTTACCATGAAGTCTGTTGATGGCATTGCTTTTCCTTTGTTTCTCTGAACAGGACCTCCATTGCAATATCGGCGTTCCTATACTGGACAGAAGCCCAAAGTGACACAGATTTGCTTCCGTTTTGGGGCCATGGGTGCCTCTAGAGGAGAATTTCAGAGTCCACATGGATTCTGCCTTGGGCCAGAAGAGGAAATCATCATAGCTGATACAAATAATCATCGCATTCAGGTCTGTAAATTGTATTTTTTTAACATGTTGTTTGTGTTCTAGCACATACCCCTCAAAATATCCCATTAAGAGGTGAGGAAATAAAAAAATAGAAGCACATGAAGACCTTTCATAGGATGGGAAAATGCCCTGGGTTATCACCCCCTCAATATGAAGCAAGCAAGAGGTACATGAACCTCTGCATATGATAGTTGTAGGATTTGCAGCAACAAAAAAAACCCCACACACACACGGGCATATGGGTGAATAGTTTCATATCAAACCCTTTTTAATTTTCATGGCTATATCTTCAAATTTGATTAAATTTGGTTTGTAGGTCTGGTCTTTGGAGAAATGAAAACTGGCTCATTTTTGTGATTTTAGAGCTCTGAACAGTTTCCACATCATTACTTCTGTTATAGTAATACTATACATTTATTTTTCAATTTTTAGCCATGTAATGATGAAAGATCATGGACATGAGTTGATATAAAAGAAAAGGATATCAGGAAAATACTTGACCTATAATATGGAAAGTTATTGCTGTTTTCATCCTGCAGGCACAGGTTTTGCACAAGAGTTCTTCAAAAGCATAAATAACAAAAGCCGTATATGTGGTTGGATTGAAATTGCCCATAATGGACAAAAGTGGCATTTAATGTGCTCTCTTCTGCTCTGACAAATGCTGTCAGTCCAACCTTCCACTGCTCAATTTCCCCAAGCCTCTGCTTGAAGGATGTTCATCCTATCATGTTGAAGAAAATCATGCCATCTAAATGCAATTTTCAACCTCATGCTACAAAAAATTATTGTGTATTAACTTTTAGTCATGTTTCCTTGAAATATACAACAGAGGTGTTTAAAAAATAATGGAAATTCATGTCTAAGCTGTCCATGTGAGCCTTTACATAAGAAACCTCATAATGCACACAAAGACATCAATTTTATTCAGAGTATACACTTTAGTTCAAGTGAATGTTGCTGGTGGTGCTAGTGGGCACCAAATCAACATGGAGAGTATGCTTTCTTCGTTTTCATACACTTCTTATCATATTTTGTTAACATTCATTGGTGAATATCCACTGGTTCAACACCTTCTGCCCAAAAAATTGGATAACAGACCTTGGTGCACAGAGAGAGCATACTTGCCATGTTGACTTGGGATCCACTAGTGCTACCACTGGCATTTGCTTGAACTAAAGTACGCATTCTGGATAAAATTGATCAGCCTTTGCATGCAATATGCAGTTTCCTAGGTATAGGCTCACATGGGCAGCTTAGACAGGAATAGCTAATTGTAAGTTATTTACTATTATAAAGTTAAGGAATATACACCCTGTCCCAAAAAATTTTGGACCATTTTTCAATTTGTAATTGGTTCAGAGTATCATGCGCTTTAGAGGGTTGACTACTACATCAAAGGAGCATATGCATGCTAAATTATAACAATATCCATTCACTGGTACTAGAGATACAGGAGGTAATTCATAGTGTGACAGCCCTAAGTCAGCGTGGCCAGGACTTTACGGGCTCATACCTCAAAATTTAGTAGTGTGCCTTGTATACAATGGCTGGCATGACATGCATATGATCATGAGCGCAATATTCTCAGCTGTATCACACTTGGAAGAGATGCTCAAAGCGCCTGCCCTCAATCTGCCTGCAGGCGTGCAAAATCAGTCCAAATCCCAGACACTGCACTGTCCACACTCTCCTGCATCAGGGGAACGATGGGTTCCCTCTTACTCGTGCCGGGTGCGGCCAGCTGCACTGGTCTGCTGCGACCTTGCTTAGAATAAGCTGCCATCCTTATAGAATGAGTCTATGGATTTTTATATAACTTCACAAGTGTGTGCTCATTTGATGTGTTAGTTGGCTCTCAAAAGCACACAGCCATATCTGAACCAATTACAAATAGCTACAAATTGAAAATGTTCCAAATTTATTGGGACTGAGTGTAAATGATCTTCCACATATTGTATCTCAGGTGAGAGAACCTGTGATAGTAACTTATTGTCAATTTTAGAGAAGTGGTTATGAGGTTGGCTCACAATGATACTTCATTGACTGGCTTGCTTCACCAATCAGGTGTTTGAGCCCCAGGGCGAGTTCCGCCTAATGTTTGGTGAACCAGGAAGAGATGAAGGGCATTTATGGTTCCCGCGCAAGGTTGCTTTTCTACCACAAAGTGGGAAGTTTGTTGTCTGTGACCGTGGAAGTGAGCGTTCACGAATGCAACTCTTCAGTCGCACTGGCCAGTTCATTAAGAAGATCACCATCAGGTTGGTATCTCACATACCTTAGGGGCATAAGCCCTCATCATGTTTTAATGAGCAACAGTACTGGTGGAGTTACCAAAGCTTATTGTAGAAATACCTGGTGTGGAGTAAAAAAAATGCAACTATTTGAATTTTTGTCTTGAAATTGGTCATAGCTAAAGTTATGTGGGTTCCAGGATCTATGCACCCGTGTTCTGCCTTCCACATACTTTTTTTCCATAATTTTCTCCTATCAGGTTCAGCCACAGAAGCACTTTGAAGATTGCAATTTAAATATTTTGAATTCCTTCTCTTGGCTAGACCCTTGTCAAGAGGGAAAACAGTATGTTCAATTGCTTTCATACCAACTTCAGTATCACATCAGTTATTATTGGTATTGTCTAAGGCAGACAAGGCAGCATTGAAGTGTGTTTTATGGACAAAAGTGTGTGAAAATTTTCAGTGGAAACCTAAATCAGCCAAATGCAGAGGCAAGGACAACCTATCATGCGTCAATTTAATTGAGTCCCCTTGAGCTTGAGGGGATTTCTAAATATTTGACTATTGAAGAAAATTCTGAAGAAAAAATTTGGCACAGAGACAAAATGTAGATGCATACCCATTGGAACATATACAGCATTGACCCATTTTTAGACATAAAATTCTTACAGCAGGACGTTTCTTCTCTGCACCTGGTATTTTCAGTTTCATACCATGGAGGGTGCAGTGGAGCTCTCATGATGCTCTGATGTCTCACTCTTTCCCATTAACCTGTTAACAGGCAAGTTTCTGTGTGGCAGTGGCAGGCTGAGTGGGTAGTTTTTTCTGCAGCGACCCACGTATGCAATGGAGCTTCATTTAACTTTTTTTTTTCTTCAAGGGAAGTAATGTTTCATTGAATGACAATCTCTTCCAATCCAGTTAACAGGTGAATTTTTGTGTCAAGTTTGATGGGGCAATTATTCCCTTTCTGGGAAGCATAATTATCATCTCATTATAATAATTTAATACTGTTAATCCTCGTACAGTCAACTCTCGTTAAGGCAGACTTCAGGGGACCAATGATTTTATCTGGGTTAACAGCTTGTCCAGATTATTGAAAACCTGCCTGAGTGGGCAGTTATTTTTTTCCATAAGAAAACTGCACTCCCTGTGTACAGGCTTCCCTCGCTTTACATGGGTTCATTTTACATGGATTCACACATGCACTGTATTTTTTTTTTAATACCAATAATTTTGAAAGCACGGGGAGTGGTTTGCAGATACACGGTTTGAGTTTATTGAATTTTGGTATAATAAAAAAGACTTGCAAGTGCGAATCCATGTAAAAAGAACTCATGTAAGGTGAGGGAAGCCAGTACACATCCCCCGTGTAAAATGAGGGACTACTGTACAGTAAAATGCCTTCATTTATTTCATTTCCATGCGAATGGAAATCACTGACTCAGTTATTTCAACCCGTCGACTCCCAAAAAACCCCAAATTTTCTTTGCATTTGATGCATGCAAAAAATGCGACAAGGTGCGTTTTCCAGGGTCAATAGGACTTCTTATTCCTCTGTGCTACCAACATTGAGTGCACGTTTCTTTGAAAGATGTGTCCCTCCTTTGCGGTTATGAATGTGAAACGTGCTCTTTGTATTTGTTTCCGAGGGGTACCAGACTGGATAGCATCATGTTCAAGTTAATTGTGATACCTCTTCAAGTCCGAAAATTTCGATGTTGGAATGTTCAAATCACTCATTATACTTACCTCATTGTGCTTTTTACTCATGTCTAAGCACTTCAAAACTTCTAATTTCTCAAGGCCTCTCATGATAAGGACGGATGAGACTGATCCTTAGTGAGGGAGATCATGGCAACAAGTTGAAGTGTCTTTCAGAAGTGAGCAATCCTGATTCAAGGGAAAGGTTGGGGGGAGATGGAAGGATTGTTTTTTTCTCTCATTTTTATTTTTCTGGGTGAGGGGGAGAGTTGAGATGTGGGTGAGGTACCACAGAAAATCTGTTTTTGTTGTTGTATTTAATCTCATACTAGCAAGTTTGGATTAACAGGGAGAATACTCCAAGAGACCAGAGAATTCATCTGTGAGGGAGCTCTGGATTATTGCGGTTCAGATAAACGAGAGTTGACTGTCATACCTTTGAGTGCAACATGTGGGAAGGATAAATATCATCTTATTTAGATGGATGAATTGAGGCTTACATTTGACTTTCATGCCTTGACTTGTATTATCTTTACAGGTACATCAATATTGTGGCAGGCTTGACAGTGAACCAAGATAATGACATAGTAGCTGTTGACAGTGTTCATCCAGGAGTCTATGTCATCAATGAGAATGGTGAACTTAAGACTTGGTTTGAATGCTCTCAATACATGAGAGAACCATCAGATATTGCTGTTTACAGTGAGTTAACCATCCTTGTAGATAAGACTATCAACCTTTTCTTTATGTAGATTTTGAGATTTTTCGAAATTCCATAGATTTGCAGGAATTTCAGTTTGTTACTATTTCTTAAATGTGCTTTCCTTCTATTTCTCAACTTACTTTCACTTTATTTCATATTTGTCCTTGTACCTCTACTGAATCAGAAATGCTATTTTTTCCTTGAAGGGAAGAGGAAGAGCTCTAAAAATTTAGTGGTTGCTCATTAACTGCTTTTACTACATAAGACTGACAATGCCCAAGGCATGGGATAGTGAAGAAGCAGCAGAATGTGAATAAGGCTAAAAATGACTATGATTTAGGGCCCAGGAGCTACATGGTATTTTCATCTTATGGGACCCTAATTTGAGTTTTTCCTTGATCAAAAAAATTGATATTCTGCAAAAGAAAATGGGGTTCATAGTATTTCATCTCTGCTGAAGATATACAGGGTATGACAAACAAAAAGGCTGATGACTTTTGATCCATGGAGTACCAGTCATTGAAAATGGATGAGGGCTCATGCTGGTCAAGAGGAGGGTATTGCCTTCATATTGTGCTTAAATATAATCCATGCTATATTGAATTTCTCTCCCACTGAAAATCATTCTTTCGACTTACTTTTATTCTCCAGGGAGCACAGACATATTTAAGTTAGGAGTCTTTCTTTTTTTTTTTTATACCATACCCTTTAATCTTATTCATTAAGACCTCTTGAATAAATCTTAAATTTAAAGGACCTCATAAACAAGAAAGCATCCCATAAAGCATCTAAAAATGAGTAAGTGTGTGATAACTCAAAAGTCATTGTGTGATTTCAAAAATCTCCTTTCCCAGCTTGTGAAGTCGTATGCATATTGAAAGTTAGTATTTTTGGCATTGCACAACATTTCAGCCATTTTCCAACTGAAGGGGCTTACTTCAATGAATGAGGCAATCTTAGAGTTTTTTTTTAAATTATTATTCTTGCCTTGAGAAGTAATGTACTTCATTTGCAATGGCAACTTCAAGAGCAGATGAGTAAAATTAGAGAAGCCTATGCCATTTACTGCTGTTATATCTCCCACTTGGCTGAATCTATGAGACTTGGTGGTGCAGTGGTTGTCAGTTTTCTGCAACATAACTGAATCTCCCATGATTCTTTGTTTAAGGGGGACAGTTCTACATTTGTGACTTCAAGGGACACTGCGTGAATGTCTTCAGTCAGGATGGCTCCTTTGTTCGCAAGATTGGAAATGAAGCCATCACTACTTTCCCAAATGGCATTGACATCTCTGATGCTGGAGATGTCCTCATTGGTGACTCTCATGGAAATCGCTTCCACATTTCCTGTTTCACTACTGAAGGAGCACTCATTGCTGAATATGAGTGTCCATATGCCAAGGTGAGCAGTGAATGTGTTTTGCTCTGCATTATATTCATCTTGCATAGGTTATGCTTGAAAACTTATGGAAGAATGAGAATACCCTTTGCTTTCTACTCTTAGTTTGTTCTCTGACCTTTATCTGAGTTGTGCTGGTTGTTGAACTAAATACCAGTATATGGTTTTACTACATGGGTTGCTAAGTTTTCTCTGCTAAGTGTTCTTGTCATGTTATGACTGGTGATAAACTAGCAATAACTGCTTTGTCTAACTTTCCCCATGCTTTTGTTGGGTGTGATAAACTAGCAATAACTGCTTTGTCTAACTTTCCCCATGCTTTTGTTGGGTCTTGGACTAATGGGGCCTTTATCAGGATTTTGTTCAATGAGAGTAGTTTTTGGAATATGATTTCAAATTCATGGTTCTTGAACAAATTGGAATTCATCATCCTGTGCTGCCTTGCATGACAAATACCCTGAGTACTATAAGGTTCAATGCTGGTCCAATGTTTCTTTAAAAGGATGAGAATAAGGATGATAATAAGGAGGTCCAGTCACCTTAGTATGGTGATCCATAACTTGAACTTGAACTTGAATTTGCTCGAGAAGATATTGACTGAGAAATTAAACTCTCTGACAGCTTTGGTAGGTTTTTTTTTGTCATGTTGGCTTTATATTTTCAATGCAAAGGTAGTAAACTTGAAGGTCTGACTTTGATGTCATATATCTTCGCTGTGCTTTTTTATTTGCATGAAATACCATTTGTAGCTTTAATTATATAGAGTTCTTGGTGTTAGTTGCTCCTAAATGAAGTTCTGACCATTCTTGGTATTTTTTTTAGGTATCTCGCTGCTGTGGACTCAAACTTACCTCAGAAGGCTACATTGTTACAGTAGCAAAGAACAATCATCATGTTCTAATCCTGAATACTCTCCATGTTTGAGCCCATGACACGAAGAACACCATGAAAGCATTACCAGTTGGACAGGTTTTTTTGTCTTGTTTCTCACACCTTTCTGGGCTTTTTTTCCTTTACCTCTTTGTGTTGTTTCAGTGCATACCGGTACTACTTCATCCTGTTGTGGTTGGATGGATTCTTGTTTCTCATTTTGAAAGACTTGCCAAATGCTGTCTTGTCATCTTATTCAGATAGGTCATAGTCAATTTGCAGCCAGTGTTTTTTGCTATTTGGAAAATTTTCTTTCATACTGTTTTTACTTTAGGAAGCATCAGATAACCTTGAAGAGTGCATAACTGGTGCTTCCATTGTATCAAATGTGATTTGTAATAATCCTGGATGGAAAAAAAGTGAAACTGTATTCTTGCAGCCTGGTATTGGAATTCTCATGAGTGATTCACTTGTAGTGTTGATGTTCTTTATATTGATGGAAGTATCAGGGACTTGAGCCGTCATTTAACCGGTATGTCCCATTGTGATATGTAAGCATCTCTATGTCCTTGTCATTCCCTGCATCACTATACGATCTCAAAAGCTCACTGTTCATCATTCATCAGCACAGTCCTGTAACATGTATGTTTCTGAGAGGGGGCAACAAGTCATTCATACCTGCACTTCTTGCCAGTATCCACCAGATTGTGAAGTTGTCCACTTATTCTGTGATTGCCTTTTTGACACCTTCCATATTGACAAATGTGCCTTGGGTTGAGCCTACCTCATGCTTATATGCATTGAAAACTTATAAAGTTTTCTTTGGAAAAACTTGGATTGTAGGCTGGATAGTTTGGAGGAAGGGCAGTTGGAGAAATATGCTCTAATGGGTATTGAGGTTCATTTACATGAAAATGAAATATTCTTCATCCCATTTCAAAGCACATATATCAGTCACCTCCTAGTCTATTACCCTACTCTTCTCTCTCTCAAAGTGAATCTTTTTTTTTGGTTGTGACTCCATCTTTTTATAGAGTAGCCATAGAATGTTTAGGGAAAATCAATATAAACATTAGATGTTTCTGTTTGTTAGGGAAAATGAGCTTTCCCTTGATCGCACAAGTGAAAATTTATAGCCTAACCAATTCAGGCTTTGAGTTGTACTTCTTAAAATCTATAGCCTAACCAATTCAGGCTTTGAGTTGTACTTCTTAAAATTGTTAGCATGAAATACTTACTGTAAATGTAACCCTTAGCAAGATTTTTTTATAAGAAGACACTTTTAGGAGTTGTGTATCTTGAACCAATGCAAGGCAAGATGGAGGATGCTGGCAGCTGCATAATTTTCTGCAACACAAAATTGTTAAACAAATGCCACAAATGGGGTTAATATGGCCAATCGATATTTAGTTTCATTTTTTTTTATTTGTTTCTTATGTGGTACAAATGTTGTTAATCCCCTTCCATTCTCATTCAATGGTGGTGGTGGTTTGTCTCCAAAATTTGTGAAGTCCAGTTGCAAGGAGATGTGTCTTTCAGGCTCCTTAGCTATACTTTGTGCCAAACATTAGTGAATTCATTGGTGTGGAAATGCAGAAGTGTGAGTGATATCTGCATCTGTGCCTTAAGTCCTCATAAAATTCATGAACTCATCATTCCATCTCATACAGATTTGCTCAAATGAATGGAAGCCAAAGAGAGTACCAGGCCTGTCCATTTCCTGCCTTTTCTGAATCCATCTTTCCCTTTCCATCCTAATAGGCTTTTCTCTCCTTTGTTATTATTTTTTTTTAAGCCATGAGACTTGAGTTTTCCTTTCTTTTCATTTTGGCAGGGGAGGAGGCCAATTCTGATTTCTTTTCATAAATGCAAGTCCAAAAGAGGCAGGCTTGCATGTTGTATCCTGATATTATTGTAACCTTCCTGGAACTATCTGTGTGACACTTGTGATCGTTGAGGATCTGAATCTCGCTTCCCATCACTACATCCCCAACAGGAGAAGGTCCAGGTCTTTTTTTATGCTTCCCTTCCTGCTGCAATTCAATCCTCCTCAGTTTACATTGTCATGCTTTTCTGTTAAAAAAAAAAAAAAAAAAAAAAAACTTAAATCTTGAAGTCAGGCATGAAGTGTCAGATCCCTTCTCATATACTTTCTTTTGCAGTCCAGCATGGAAAGCAAGAATATATCCTTTCATGAGGTATCAGTGAGCCCTTCATATTGTCCAAAAACTCCACTATTGTTGTATTTCTGTTCAATATGCAAATCCAAAGGAACAAGTTTCATCTGAACTTTAGAATGCCAAATGACCTCAATGGCTATCTGCATGAGTTTCTTTGTCTTATCTGATTGGCTGTTGGAATATTTTATTAGAACTGGAAGTGGATACCATAAGTTATTAAGTCAAAGTTTCTTTTCACTTCTCCCATTCTTTTTGCTCATTGCAGCTATACTGTGAACTCTCGTTAAATGCAGAAAAAAATTTTATTTTCAGAAGCACCATGGAGCCAATATAAAAGCACTGCCAGTACATAGGGAACTGTTAATTTGGAAAATTAACTGGGAGAAATTCTCCCTTTTCCCTATGGCCATTCTCATTTTATCAGAATTTCAAGGATGGAATTTGAATTAGACTGAGACTGTTCTCAAGTCTTGACAAAATAAATAAAGTCTCAAAAAAGTATATTACAATATACTGTGTGAATTGCTTTCCCCCATGACAGTAAAAAGGAAATTAGTGGTCTTTAATTACTCATTAACTTCAGGCTGTTCAAGTCTGCATTTATGAGAGTTTGCTGTCTGCCTTTCCTTCATTTTCTTGCTTGAAATTTCATTGAGATTTTGGCGTCTTTGGTTTGAAAAAAAATTTCTATTTTGAATCTCTTCAATTTTTGTTTTCTACCAGTTATTGTTCATGCTTTCCAAAGATTTCTTTTGTGTGTGGTTTTTTTTTTCTGATGAAAGTGATCCCATGGTTACCATTTTTTGTGACTATTCAAACCTCCCTGAGATTTTTTCTCTCCCTTTTTTTTATGGTCTGTGTGTTTCTAACTTCTACATCTGTCGTGGTGCTCACATGAGCTAAAGTGATTCTTTTGATCTCCTGGAACTTTTGTCAAACAGGTTTTCAGGGTTTTTTTTTTGTTTTCCTTTGGCTTCATATTTGGGGATGCTTTCAGTTATGTAGCACTCTTCCAATATCGTCTCCATTATACAAGAGCTTCATGAAAAGAACATTTTCATAATATGCATTCATTTCTGAGTGCTGGAAGTTAGTCTCTGGATGTGCATTTTTGTGCTTCCAGAAGTCATTTTTCTTCTTTATCTATCTCTTCATTGTCTCTCAGCATTTGCTCATTGTTTGACAGTATTAGTCTAATCATGAGAAATTCCAAGTTTTGTCATTCAATTTTTGAATTAATAAAGTTTGCATTTCTACTCCATGATGTTTCATCCTCTCACACTACAGGACATCTTTGCTGTCAAATATTTCACTCTTCAGTTTCTTTTAAATTTTCCTACTCAACTATATTTGGATAAATCAGCTTCCTGTCTGCTTGTCAACAATGATCCCTCTATGATCACCTTGATGGAAGATGATTTCATATTCAGCATCCTAGAGATGACACCTTGCAAGGTGAAGTCATCTTGAAGAAGAATAAGAAATTCCATTCCAAAAGATTCATCAGAGATCCTTTATTCATGGATGTGGTTGGCAAGATATTTTCAGTTGAATGTTACCAGGCCTGAGAGATGACAGAATTGACTCACTTGCATATGATTAATTTACTTGATCACATGTTGGAACTGCGAATCTGTTTGGTGCCTGTGGTGTGTGTTTCACCCACATTAAGATTAATTGATAACATAATGGCATTGGGGAAATGATTTTTCAAGGAATTGCAAAGGGCTTCTCTAAGGGATACTTCCCCTTTTATATGGTGAAAGAGCTCCAATGTATGAGGGTTCAAGGCCTGTGTTAATCACTCACTCTTCCAGGTCACTCCATGGAAGTAAAATGGTTTGCCTTTTTAAGCTTGTTTTTGTTGCTATGAGAAATGCAGAAGTTGCCATAAACTATCTGCAATGCTATGATCCCATCCTTTGTTACTGCAGCCTGCTGCTTCTTCACAAGCAGGAAGATGAGGTGGTTTTTCCAACTCAAACTTCAGTTTCCTGTCCTGCTACTGAGGAAAAGCACCAAGTGAGGAGACAAAAATGAAAAAATAGGCAAGAAGGAGACCACTCCTTGGTTGCTTCTGCATCCTGCCTGGTAGAAGAATGATCTTCAGTTGTTGATGCCAAGATATGTTATGCTACCAAAGGAAGGGTGAAGCACTTGGCACCATAAATGCACCACAAAATTCAATCTGTCTCACCACATTGAGCCTTTTCTCCCATCACATATTCAATCATGACAACTGCTGGTTGTCATAAATGAATAAGTAGTGTATCTTTATTTTAACAATGCATGCTGCAATGATACCTCTCAACTCTGATCACTTGGTTGGTTTTCAATCGGTGCATAATAGCGACTTACATTTTGCCAAAAGTGATTGCAACTGGGAGCTTCCATTAAATTCCATGATTGCACTTATATGATTCTTCCACTTCCACTAATGACACATGAACTCAAATTAAATCCAGTTTCTTCTGCATCTCAGGTATCACAATCCATGTACTGGGTTCTTTTTTTTACTTGTGCTAATTTCATGATGTGATTAACCAATCATGAAAAATCTCACATGCTCTTAAAAATACATTCAGCTAGGGAGCTTTTGAGTGTTGCAATGCCCACTCCCAACTCTTTCATTTGGTAACCAATGGCGGAGAATCTTGCATGCTGCTATGGTTGGCACCATCTGGAGATCAACCAGTGTTGGGAGAGGGATTGATGACTGCATTGTCTGGCTGATGGGCTGAATTTATGAAAAAGAAGTGACGTGTGATGTTATTCTACAGTCAACTTAAAAAAATGAACAAACCCAAAGCCTTCGATTAGGTGGCTGATATTGAAATTTTCCTTGAGAAAGGGACTTCCTATTGCTTTGTAGGAGGGCATTTCAGATAGATTAGTCATTTCAACACTTGATTTTTAAGGTTTATGATTCTTCATGAAAGCTCAAAGCTCTTTCTAGTTTACATGCATTTCAATAAATAATTGCCAACAACATGGTTTTATGCATGGTTTTAGCTGAGTAGCCAGACTTTCCAACCCATTTTTTCTGAGTATATGAGTCATATTTCGAAAAATAGTTTTAGGAAGTAATTTTACCAGGACGGTTTTTCATTTCTTGCAGGAGGCTGATATTATATGTGGTGTTTGCAATTTTTTGGGGTGTGAATGCAGCATCCTTCTCTGCCCTCATGGTCTCTGACTGGAAAAGTGAAGGCTCCCTCATATTCCTCAGACTTGTCCTACAATGCCAAGGAACAAGGCACTCTTTGGAATAAGTGCCAGAACATTTCTCATTTCATCATTTCACACCACTGTCTGGAGAATATGATTAAAGGTTGTTCCATAGCATGAACCCTATATGCTGGAGGTTTCTGACCGACTGATGCAAATCCCTTGAAAGAACGCCCCAGTCTTATGCCAATGGTCCTTGGTACTCCATGAAGTCGGTTGCAATGGAGAGAGAGAGAAATATTGTAACTCGATTTAAGAATTGTTCCCTCCTGCGGAACCATGAAATCATACGAGAAGATCTCTGGATCCAGGATGGGAAGATCATCAACCCTGAGCTTCTCTTTTTTGATGCAAAAAGACGACCTGACTTAGAAGTGGAATGTCGTGGAGCCATTTTGTCGCCTGGTTTCATCGATCTCCAGATCAATGGTAACATTATTTTCCCCCAAATTTTAGTTAAAGCCTTTGCATCTGCAGTCCCTCATCTGATGAGTAGTTCCATGTGAATATAGAACAAAATGCAGGCTTGTTCAATCCTCAACTTTCCCCTGTATTGTGCTTGGATTTTAACCTGGGGTAAAATAATTCAAACAGCTGGCGTAAAATAGCTCAGGCTTAGCTTATATCAAACAACACAACAACCAACTTATATCAAGCAAACAGTCATTCTGAGGTCCTAACCACATCCTCGTTAATGGTATAGTAGCAGTAGATGTTTGAAAAAAATGGCGAATCCGTTAGGATGGAACCAAGATGTGATCCGAGTGAGAATGGCCCTGTCAGAATCAAAGAAGTGTGTTCCAGTCCATGTGGTACCAGCGGTAAAATTGCTGTGTAGTGATATGACATGCCCTTTTAGCTCTGCTATGCAGTACAAATCGGTCATTGCAAGGATACTCTAAAACGACCGTACTGCCACGAAGTCACCCGCGAACTGCTTAGGAGTCCCTACTTAGTGATAGTATGTGATGGTGAAGAGTTGAAGAGTGGCATCAGCATGTTGGCAAGAGTGGCACCGAAGAATGGTGACAGCTCAATTCAAACTTAGAAGTCTAAACAACGAGTCGTCCTCGGACTTGTTTTTTTTTTTTTCTTCCTTCCTTTCTTTTTTTAATCTGAGAGAGGGGACCCACGTCTCCTCCCCCTTATATTTGTATGCAACCTGAGAGGTGAGTACATTTTCCCCAGTCATCGGGAAGAGAAGAGGCTCGAGAATGGAGAATATTTCCAAGCTTTCCAACGATACGAAAGTCACCGTGTTCGCGGCATGGAATCTAATCAATCAAAGGGAGGAAAGGGGGGCGATATCCATTCAAGATGCCAAAGTGAGCAGTTTTTTTTTTTTTTTAGGGGGAGGAATCCATTTGAGTTGTCACCAGTGGCGTAGCGAGGGGGGGGGGGCTTCAGCCCCCAAAATTTGGTTCAAGCCCTCCCAACTCTGGTTGGAATGCGTCCGCCCCACTCCGACGAGGAGAAGTTAGTCCCCCCAACGTTCAGCTTAGCCCCCCCATTGACGAAAACCTGGCTACGCCATTGATTGTCACGAATGTCAATGTGTTGGCACCCCGAGTACTGAAATTCCGGTATCAATGTTTGCAGATCCGTATTTAATGCGTAAGTGATAATAGGGTTCCACATAGCTCAGGAATCGAGAGCGAGATGGACACCGGCGACGAGACGACGGAAACCACAACGCCTACGGAGATGTCGGCTTTTCCCGTTTCCAACTGCGCTGGTTTCAGTTTCCAGCCCCACGCTGCACGTGGCCGTCGCGTGGCGCTAAATATAAACCGCGGATCTTCTAAGACTACATTGCGCCGAACCTGACGTCACCTTTTAAGGCACCTTTCCACTCTTACTTCTTCCCATTACTTACCGTTTATAAATGATAATTTATTTTCTCCAAAGCATCGATATTTTCAAAAATTCCATTATAACAGCCCTAGATGATATGGGCCTATCAGAAGGGGGAGGGAGAGGATGTCACAATAAATGGAATTCGCCATTTAATTTTATCAGGCTATTATCATGCCTTGAAGGGTTCTAGTTGGTGAAAGAATAATCGGTGATGATGACCGTGCGCATAAAGGTTTTCTTGCCAACTGCTTAATGCTCATTTTGCAGATCTTCACAGTGGCAGGAGCTGCTCCTTAGGAATAGTAGCCTTTTAGCCGGCATCTCGTTGCACATGCAACGAATCAACATTGCAAAACTCCTGCAGGTGGCTTAGAAGGCGCTGAGTTTGGCTTCTCCCAGCACCTTTCTTATTCATTCTAAGGATAGATTCCTGTTCCATTGTAGTCAGTGGGGTCTTGCTTTTCTATTGAAAGCCCTTCTTTCCCGAGATCCATTTTAATACTTTTGGCAGATGGTAGTATTGGGATTGAGGAGGGGTTCATATTTTACTGAATGTACTGCACAGTGATGAAATTCCAAAGTTGTAATGTCATGTGACATTCAAATAGAACCAAAATAATGTTAAATCCCCTATTTACATTCTTATCTTCTCTAGCCCACCACTTCAGAGACTGATTTCAATGTCCTGTATGATCCACATAAAATTGGTCACGATGAAGAAAATTTAAAGTTGGCATGTATAACCGGTGGATTTTACCTGCCATATAAGGCTGAGATGGTGTACAGTAGAATAGCTGTCCAGAATACCCTGCTCTCATAAATTATCTCATATTCATAGCTAAATTTCACATCACCACTTAATCTTCTCTGGTAAACTTAATCTACTATCCATGTTCTCATTGCATCACATTTCATATGCAATCTTCCCATACTTTCTGAGATGTGGAAGTGTATGGTTGGGCATCTGCTGCTTCTTAATTGACTTTGCTTTTGGTCTGGTGAATGATTTTCTACAGTACTATACAAACATTACTTCAACAAGAAATATCAACTATATTTTCTAAATATAAAAAAGGTGAAGACAAAATATTATATATTGTACCTAACCCTTAACAGCTCATGACTTGTTAACTGCTATGAGGTCAATTCTTGGGGGTTTAGTTAAGTATGTGCAGCGTCATTGTCATACTCATCAATGGAATGAGAAATGCAACATTCTGTTCTGCATGTTTCTGTCAGGGGGTTTTGGAGTTGATTTTTCCCATAATGAGGTAGATGTGGAAGAAGGAGTGAAAAGGGTTGCCACAGGGCTCCTTCAGTTTGGAGTCACTGCCTTCTGTCCCACCATCATCTCCTCCACACCAGAGAAGTATCACAAGGTATGTGCTACCTTTTTTTGAGATCCAGGAGGGACAGAACAGCTTGGACATGGATAATTGAGAATGACCATAATTTCCACCTTTTTTGTTGTTCAGATTCTTCCAAGATTGAAAAGAAGAATTGGTAGTAAGGAGAATGGAGCAGAAGTGTTAGGTGTTCACCTGGAAGGGCCATTCATCTCAGCAGCTAAAAGAGGAGCTCATTTTGAAGAGTTCATTCGACCATTGGACAAGGGCTGGCAGAGTGTGATGGATGTCTATGGATGTTTAGAGAATGTTTCCATAGTGACACTAGCACCAGAACTCCATCAAGCCAGTGGTGTTATCTCCAGGCTTATTACAATGGGCATCACTGTGTCTCTTGGTATGTTCCATTGTGAAAGAGATTATCTGTCTCCTCAAAACTAAGAAACTGAGAAAAAAAAAGCCTCTTGAATGTCTGTGTATGTATAGTATGGTATCTGAAGTCTGCCTTTGCCATGGTGCAGAAAATGTATTGCTTTTCACCTATATACAGGGTGATTATAAAGAAAGTTACCTCATTCAACACATCAGATCTTGTAAATGGTTAGACACAGGATCGTGAAAATTGATATAAATGCTACAGGGGCCACAGGGAAGACAATGCAGTACATGTCTTATGTTGTCCACAAAAGCGAACAAATGGCCCATTTATGATTGTTGTGTTCAATGTGTGCCCCTCCATTATCCACTACACCAGCAAACTTTTGGTTGCTGGGGTTTCTGAAGTCTTGCATGTACTGAGGAACCCCACACATGTTTCCAGACCTTAAAGATGCCATTGTCAGGGAGGTGGCCAGCATACCTGAGGATGTGCAACATGCTGCTGTCATGTCTGTTGTCATACAAATGTTATGCATAGTGGATAATGGAGGAGTGCACATTGAACACGACTGATTATCATAAGTGGGCCATCTGTTCACTTGTGTTGACAACACATGACATGTACTGCATTATCTTCCCCATGGCCCCTGTAGCATTTGTATTAATTTTCACAATTACATGTCTAACCATTTACAAGATCTGATGCTTTGAACATGGGGACTTTCTTTATAAGCACCCTGTACAAGGAACTGAGACTTTAGAGGGAAAAATTAAATTCATTATAAGTACAATAAACAGAAGAGAGACAGGTTTCACATTAGGAAGAGGCTGCTAATATATGAAAGTGGGTAAAAATGGTTCTTCTCATGCCCTAGTCTGAAAGTTGTAATTTAAATTGAAAATTGGTTTCTCTTGCAATTTCAGAATGCACAAATATGTCTCTTGGCAGGGCATTCAAGTGCAACATTGGTGGAGGGGGAAGTAGGAGTTCAAAATGGGGCATCCTTCATCACACACCTCTTCAATGCCATGCCTCCTGTGAGTGACAGGCCTCATAGCTCCACTTTACCCCTGAGGACCTCACTGCACCTTAGATTTTGCCTCTCTTGCATGCTCAAAGCAAGACAGTCTATGATGCAACATTTTCTATTGTTTAATTGGCAGATAATAAAATGACTTTGTGAACCAGTTATAGTTAGACTCAAAATTAATCCCATTTAGTAATGCCATAGTCAAAAACATGTTTAGTATGGCTACCATAGCAACCAATGAGGATTTAGCTATTGACAGCTCAAAACTGATATAATTTTCTACTCTCATAACATGTGACCTCCAAGCCTGGAACATTTCATTAGTTGCAGGCATTAACAAATGAGAGTCAGAACAAAAATAGTAGAGGCATGCAAGTCTTGCCCTCCCAGATTGTAAAAATACAGGGTTAGCATTTGACACTGAATAGAAAATAGCACACTAAAAGCAGTATGTAAAACAAAAATGAGTAAAGTAGAAGGTACAAATACTGTGTGAATTTTCACTATAAAAAAGTAGATTTGCTATCTATCCCTCTCATGAAACTTAGTTGCAGTGACAAGTCAACCATCAATATGAAAACAGAAATGAGAAACAGAAAGAAGGTATGAGGCACCATGCATACCAAAGGAATTATACCCTTAAATACTACAGTGTCCCCAAGGTCTGGAACCAATGACAATTCATATTTTTTTAAGTTTCAGTTTCACAAATAGTACCAATTTACATTATTTGCTCAAAATGTCCATATAACTCAAAACAAGTCTGGATATGATATTTCCAGTTCCTTTGCACACTGCAAAGCAGTTCCTGGTTCTTGTCACTGTCCTACAAATGTCTCAAACTCATTGTTTGAGATGTTCTGTGTCCCTGGTCTTCACTTCATACACATGGGCTTTTAGCACTCCTCAAAAGAATTCACAATTAGCTGAAAATAGAAGAGAAATAGGAAAACTTTAGAATCGGCTTTGGTTCCAGACTTTAGGGACACTTTGTATCATGGGACCCATGATACAAGCATTGAAAGCATTGTAAATAAAGGATGGCTGACAGCACTGAGAAACTCAAGCCTTTGCCTAATTTCATTTTGTTAAGGACCAAACCGAAGCTCTTATTCTTAAAGAATGCTTGCTGCTGAATATATATAAAAAGTCAGAATAGCATTATTTGATTTTTTGTAATGTCAAAGGAAAGTCAAATGGACAAAGTAAATGCCTGTAGTTTGGTAGAGTATATGGCAGAGGGCAGTGATTGAGAAACAAAAATTGACAGTAATTGAGAAAAGGCAATGCAAGTAATTGCTTTCAATTGTGTCACTTAAGTTATGAAGGCCATGTTATTTTTCTCAGAAGTCCAAAGAATTTAATTATACAGTAGAATTCAATCATGCATGACTCTTATTACAAGCTCCTGGGAAGAGCAACTTGGAGACCTTGTATGTGTCAGATATTATGATATGTGTTGTATATGCAGTCTTTCAAAAGTTGCTTCTGCTGTTCAGACAGCTGTTCCCAGGAAACTGATGGACACAATGTTGTGAAACTTGATGTGTAGACCATATTACCCATGCAAGAGATAGTATACATAGTTGTGTGGTATGCCATGGTGACACTAAAAGGTGTCAAAAAACATTTTCTCCCCTCTGCTGTCCAAACAGTGATAGATGAATGCTGTGAAAAAGTTCTGGATGTTTTCAGAGAATGAGTCACCACTTTCAGCAATCTTGTCTGGTAAGATCACCTGACCTCACACCAGCAGACTTCTGGCTTTGGGGTTACATTAAGAGCTGTGTTTACTGCAATACCCCCACCACAACCCATGAGTTGAAGGGGAAAATATGGCAAGAAATTCGCTCTATGCCTCCTGCTATGCTTCAAGCAGCAGTATGGTATGTGTTGCCATGATTGGAGATGATGACTATCATCAATAGAAACCATATTGAAGGGCTATTATAAAAATATTCCCCATTTGTCAACCACAGGTATCAGTAACTTGTAATGTGACCATGATCTCTTCATAACCCATTACTTGACTGTGTATGTTGTCTTCTGCAAAGTCAGTACACCATTTTTCAGTACACCAAGTTTCACAACATTTGTGTCAGTCGGTTTCCTGGGGCAGTAGTCTGAACAATGGAATTGACTTTTTTAAAGATCCTGTACATAACTGAAACAAGCCTGTGAGAAATGAAATACTGATGGGACCTTATTGGACCATGCTTCCCCAATTGCATGAAGTGTTAATATGCTTGATCAGGTTCCTGAGTCCATCAGTGCATTTCTATCTTTGTTTTTGCATGGGAAAACCTCAGATTTTCTAGCTGACCTGGCAGAGAAGGGTCATTAGGACTTTATCCTCTCTGCTACTGAGAGATCTGCTGAAAGATCGACTCCTTAGAAATGAGAAAATTCATCGTTGCATTCATCTCAATTTTAAGACCCTTTCAGCAGACCCTTTGGTAGCATATTGAAAAAAATTCATCAAAGCTATATTTAATTGACAAATGAGATGAAAATTTGCCAGTCACCATCAAATACATCAGTCTTTTCATTAGGAAAGTAAGAATGGTGTATTGCAACAGGAAGTGCCTCAGAATACAAACTTTTTGATCACCCCTTGTATATCCTGTGTGAATGCAAGGTAATTTTCTCTTGCCCACATGGACCAATACTTCACATTCATGTTCTTTTGGGTCAATGTTTGATCTGATGTATTGTCTTTATAGTTCACAGAGAAAATGAGTCACACACTTGCTGTTGAATTGTTATTGCATAGATGTAGTGTTGGAACATTTTTCACAATTTTTACTTGGGAGTAGAGCATGTGAGGAGTCTACAAATGAAATATTATTTTGTAATGAACTCCCAGGCTTTTGCTCTATAAAGGGTTAATCTGGCATATGGACTTGGATGAGGTTGTGATGATGGGTGTGCCACTTTCCAGTTTCATCACCGTGATCCTGGATTGGTTGGTCTCCTCACATCTATACAGATCCCATCAGATCATATCCTCTTCTACGGTGTCATTGCTGATGGAATCCACACACATCCTGCTGCTCTTCGCATTGCCTATCGAACTCACTATCCAGGTCTGCTCAAGTGGACACTCGATCAATTCCTATTCATTTTACCTTGTGCTTTTTTTGAAGATGATTTTTTATGGGAGGGATTAGTAAGCTTAGGCTGAAAATGAAAAACAAAATCCAGTTACTGATGATCCCATGGATTTGGTGACTGGAAGGGCTGCATATATATGCTAATAAAAATGTCCCACTTGATGACTTCTCAAGGAATTCTGACAAAATGTATTATGGGATGTGGTATTTTCAATATCAGGACTTGTGGAAATGACTGAATGCAGCAAAAGCTTTTGATCTCTGGATGTTTAGAGAGAAGATAAGAAATTTGAAAAATAAATAGGATTTTATTCATGTCATTCAAGGAAATATAACATTCAAGATCCTTTTTAAATTTGATGCTTAATGGTTGTTATGGGAATGATCCAACTTTTATGTCAAAACTGGGTGCTAAGGTTTGCTTTGTCATTTTGGTGAACCAAGTAATACTTTCTACAGAAAGTATGGAATGTCACTGCCTATTTTAAACTTGTAATAACTTTTTACATTTTTGGACTAGAATTATAACAATGGTTTTCATGCCAAAAGCAATAGAATTTGATAGATTTTATTATTTAATTGATATGTTTGTTTGCAGATACCTTCTATGGTGCCAAAATTGAATATTCAGAGGTGGTGGTAGAAGGAGAATGCCTTAGATGAAACTTCCCACCTTCTGCATGCCTTTACACCTCATACCATGCAGTTATTTGTGTATGGTGTTGAATATTAAATTTTGGCACCAAGGAGGGTGACTGCAAACAAACAAATAGATGAAATGATAAAATCCTATCAAACTCTGTTGCTTTTGGCACAAAAACCATTGCCCTAATCCAAAAATTACAAATGCTATTACAATTTTAAAATAGGCAGTGACTTTCCGTACACCCTGTATATCCAAACCAGATATTGTTCTCAACAATTGGCTTAGTTATAAGTTATATTGATGTGTTGCCCTTTGGATTCATTTTTTGATAAGTCCAAGAACAAAAAATTAGGTGAAACTGATTACTCAAGGAAAGGGAGTTACTTGGGGAAAAAGTAAAAGGGAGGGTCAAGAGTAGGATAATTTCTATGCAAAAAAAAAATAGCAATCAGAAAATAAGAGTAAAAATGGGATTTTACAAAGATTCTAACTTTGTTTCTTTGATAAAATACACTTCATCTCAAAGGAGACACAGAAAGGTGTTCTGTTAATTTTTTTTAGAAGTTTGTTCAATTGCACATTGATAACATTTCCACCAGTGCCTGTAGCATATTTGAAAGACTTTTACCAGACAGACATTTATAGAAATTGGTAAGATTTCTAGTAAGATTGAAAAAAATAATTGAAATAAACTTTCTATCATGCCTATAAATCAATATTGAGAAAGCAGATGTGAGTGAATGTGTATGATACAAGCAGAGTGTGAATATGAGTGAGATGATTTGGGATGGGAAAGGTCTAGTTTTGGTGACGGATGCAATAAGTGCAATGGGACTGGGAGATGGGACACACATTCTTGGAGAGCAAAGGATACAGATTGATGGACGCAGGGCTACCATCAAGGGGACAACCACTCTTGCTGGATCTGTTGCCACCATGGATCAGTGCATACAGCATCTCAGGAAAGCTGCAAGTGTGTATATCCATTACCCTGTCCTTCTCCATTACTCTCCCACTTCTCAGTCATCTCAAATATGAAGTCTCCTGACTCTAACATATGCTGAATCCACCATTTCATTAGCATTTTGAAGGATAGAAGCAATATCCATAATGCTACCACCTCGTACTAGCGAGGTTATTTGCCCTTCGGGCAAACAAACTCGCTATGGTCGCGCCTTCGGCGCTCCATTGCCTTGAATATATATTAATTCATTTATTCTTTGCGAAATGGCAAACACGTATTTAAAGTACGTCCCCATTGAAATACGTGACATATGGGGACGAAAGTTTTGATTTTGATAAAAATAATTATTTCTATTATTTCTAGTGTGCCTAACTTGAAATATTTCCATGTGTCCCTTCTTGCAAGGGTGGAGATGACATTTTGAAATACTTCCCTCCTATAATCTACGCTAAGGAAACATATTTCAAAAGTAGGATTTTTCCTGTACTCAGCCACTAAATAGGTACTTCTGAGGGAAGTTTAAATTTTCTGTCTCAGTTTCGTTAGATAAAAAAAAAATCAGGAAAATGGGACTGAAAAAAGTGACCTGATGGATTTTAACGAATTTTTTTTTTTCTTTTGAAATATAGGCTCACGGAACTCGATGCGACCCAGTTTCAGCCTCATACGTTTCCCCCCTTTTGCTGGCGGAAAAAAAATGCATTTTGAAAAGCGACCCACCTAAAAGCAGTGCTCTGAGGAGACGCACAACAAAAGTTGACTTTTTCTTTAAATCAATATCGCGTCCGTTATGCCAGCTACTTTTCTATTTCTGCCGATTCTGTAAGATATGAAAAAATTTTTGAAAACGTTACATCCCCAAGAAATATGAACCGCAAAAATATTTTGGAAATTTGACGTTTGACATTTGAGCTCAGTGGGTCAACGGTCACGTTCTTACCAAGTTTCAGCTTTTCATGTGCCACCGTTTGATTGAAGCAAAGGGAACTATTTGAAAATATGTTCCCCGAAAAGGTGTGCCCCTGTGGCATGTATGACCAAAGTAGAATTTTTTCTGTACTCAGCCATTAAATAGGTATTTCTGAGGGAAGTTTATATTTTCTGTCTCTGTTCGTTGGATCAAAAAAAAAAATTCAGGAAAATGGGACTTAAAAAAAAAACGCTGTTGGGTTTTAGCGAAAAAATTTTTTTCTTCTGAATTGGAGACTCAGGGAACTCCATGCCACCCAGTTTCAGCCTTATACGTTCCTTTCCACTATATGTTCCTTGAGGCGTTTTAACCGAAGAGTACCTTTCCTTTTCTTGTTACCGAAATCAATTCTCAGAGAACTACATGGCCACAAAGTTTCAAACTAATTCGTTTGCCTTTTCGCTGGTGAAAAAACATGTTTGGAAAAGCCGACGCACCCAAATGATTTGCCCGGAGTGTATGCACCATGAAAGCTAAATACTCCCTTAAATCAATAACACCATGTCACTTATACGTGTGCCAAGTTTCAACTTTCCATTACCATTTTCCAACATTTTTCTTTCACTCCTTGTCTCAGTAGTCACATTCATGCAAAGTTTCCGCTTTCCATGTTCATCGGATTAACTGATGCAGCAAAAATATTTGGAAACATCTCCCTTTGAAATTTGTACCCCCGGGGCATTTACCTCCAAAGTCTGAAATTTTCTGCATGCAGCATCCCAATAGGTAGTTATGCACCAAGTTTCATCTTTCCACATTAACTCAATACGCCAGGGCAAACAAATTACTTGAAAAACGTTGGCCCCTAAAAATATGCACCCACATGGCATGAGGATCTAAAATTTTACATTTTTCCTGAACTCATCGTCTCGGTAGGCATGTCCATGCCAAGTTTCAGCTTTCCATGTCACTCCGTTTTACTGAAGCAAAAATATTGTTAGGAAGGGGGAATGAGTAACGCGCCTTAGAAGGCATAAGAGGCCGAAAAAAAGCCATGGAACTTCCAGGATTTGAACCCGAGCCTCCCGATTGTCGGTCAGGTGTGTTACCATTACACCACCGAACCCGAGACGTCGTGTCAGGCCTCTCGATGCCATCCTAATCTGTCACAATATAAATCTTTAAAAACTTCTCCCCCCAAAATTTGTACCCCCAGGGCAAGAACCTCCAGTCGGATTTTTTCTGAACGCTGCATCCCAAAAGGTACATGTGTACCAAGTTTCAGATTTCTAACCCTTCTAGTACATGGTTAGAATTAACGTCAGTCAGTCACGATCATCTATATATATTAGATGCTACCACTGCTGGGAAATTTTTCCTGCACATTCACAAGTGTGTTATTTATAGGATAGCCATATCAGTGCTTTAGCTTGACCAAGACAGAAGTTCAGAAACCAGTTAAATAGTGTGCCCCAGAACTAGAGTAGCAAGTTTTTTCTTTTACAGACAAGTTATACCTACATGAAGTAAAATACATACCTGAATGAGTTTGACATCAGCATTCAATGCATTGAAAGGACTTGTATACTATAATTTTCCCTCTTGGGGAAATAGGGTGTTCAACAGTGGAGGCATTGGAGGCAGCAACATTGCATCCAGCTCAGGTGCTTGGAGATGACAAGAGGAAAGGGAGTTTGGATTATGGGGCAGATGCTGACTTTGTTCTTCTTGATGAAGACTTGAATGTTCAGGGAACATTCATCAGAGGAATTCAAGTCTATGCTAACCCCATGCTGCCTCCCTTTGAGCCCTTGCCCTGTGACTGACTAACAGGACTTGGAGTGTCCTAAGATGCTCAAAGAAGACAAAGGGAGGCCCCTTGAGTCCCAAACCTTATGAAAGGGCAACGGTTGCTTCATTGTTTTCCTGGTTGTGGGATTGTACTTTTCTTGTTAGAATGTCCTTGGCTACTATGAATGGTGAATGCCACAAGCTCACTTGTGTGATGTTAAGTCCCAGTGTTTTCTCTTTCTTATTTAAACATAGAAAAAGTCTTTAAAAATGGTTATTTTAATATAATACCAGTAAGTCTAAGTGGAATTGCTATGATGCAAAAAGCCTAGTTTTGAATATGAAATGATAAAAAATAGAGCACACCTGCACATTGTTGCAAAATGAAAGTTATGTTATGATGCCATCACAAGTAATCTCACAATAAACATAAAATACAGCAAAGGAGACAACACCATTTGATTTTTACTGAAGTCAATAAGGCCATGAGGTTTTCCTGCAAAATGCTTTCTGGATAACAGGCAGGGAAAAGTGCTAACATTTAGGGTAAGCAGAACAGTCAAAATGTTAAATGTCTGAATGAAGGGAAGATAGACATGTCTACTAATTTTGGCCTTCAAGCTTCTAAATCATCCCTAAATAATTTTCCATCATAGGTGAAATGCGAATATTAGATGAAGAGTAAATGGAGATAGCTGCTCAATGAAATGTTTGCAATTGCAGTTTGCAACAACAGATAGATTGGCAAACAATTCAACTCATGGTAAAAGTTTAGCATAAAAAATGAGTAGAGGTTTGGATTCTTGTGCACCAGAATGTCTTGCTCTATAATGCTCTATATTGCTTGCTGAGTTTATTTTTGGAATCAAAAAGTTTCCATCCATCTAAAGAACAACATGAATGCCAAAGACATACAATGGAAGGAGAAGCAGCAGCTTTACATTAATGACCCATTTCATTGGTTAGTTCATGTCCATATTTTTCAAAGGTGAATTATAAATCAGTGGCATGAAAAACCTTGGCTAATCAATATATTCTTGAATCATCCCCATCTGAAACATCATGCAAAAAATTCCTCACTTAACATTTCACTGCACTGTTACTGATTGGTAACATACTGATTAACTTTTATGCATAAAGGTAGTAGATTCACTGTGTAGGGCCTGGGATTTCGTATATTCATGTAGAAAAAGCTTGTTACCAACTAGGAAGTTATTGAGAATATTGTCTATAAAATAGCTGAGAAAAGACCTTTGGTCTTATTTCTTTGTAATTTCATATTTTTCATATTATACCTTTAGGTCTTAAAAAATATTTTTCTTAGACCTTTATCTCACATCTTACAGTTTGCATCACCAGAAAAAGTTTATTATTGACTGTTCAACTTCACTTCTTGAAATGAGGTCATCTCTCATCAATGGATTACTCAGAAAATCAATCCAATGATTGCATAGATCTTTACAGATTGGTTTTCAGAAAGTACCATTGAAATTTAGCAAGAAATCCTGCTGTTACAAGGATTTCAATAGCTTACCTGAGGTTTGTCTTGTATGGTCCAACTTTGTTACCCTGGATTACATTCACATGCAACATGACTAGGTTAATCTTAAAATATAAATATAAAATTTACTTGACTACAAAGACAATAAAATGATTTTGAGAGATATGCCAGACACAATTGTATATTTTTAAATTTAATATAAAATGTATTTAAAATGGCACTAGTTTGATTAAAATTTCAAATGAATCTTCAGCTAAATATTCCACTCATGAATAAAGCAATTCTACTGATTCACAAGAAAACCCATATTCCTGAGTGTTTTCCTTTTTGGGCTCAGGCAAAGCCTTAGTCTGCTTGATCACACCTTTGTTGTGGGGATTGTTGTCCAGAATCAAACAGGGATGAAGTGAATCTCAGGTAGTGCCCCATTCATGTTCTCTGTATTCATTGCACTCGGTTCCAGCTCTTTCCTCTTCCATTGGCCTTTGGCTATATAGTTTCATTGAAATACATCCATGTCACAGAATCAAAATCAAATTGTATTTTCTTGGGCAGGGTCAAACAAGGAGATTTTCCATCCCTACAAGTGAAGGTTTAGGCTGAACACACTTCATCAGTCTTGAGATTGTCCTCTCAATGGATGCAAAATACAAGTAGGTGGATATGACAGCAACACAGGTAAAATAAAAATCCAATCTTAGGATTCTTAGTTCATATCTTTGACAGAGTACAACAGGCGTCAGTGGACATTGATGGGAAATGTAATATATCAAAAACTGCAACATGCATCAATCCATATTAACAAAACTGAAATCATATATATTTTCATATTCCATATCACAAGTGGGAAGAGGGTCCTCAAAGGAGGATATCACCATTCAAGTCTTGTTGCTGTCCCCATTCCCATTCACAGGTTTCTGATCCAACTTATTTCTGTTGGTTTTGATCATGTAAATGAAGAATGTGAGGACCTCCTTCTCTGACACTGGGATATTCTTGAAGTGTTTTCTTATGCACTGAAAAATAAAATGAAGTTGAAGCAATATTGATTTTAGTGTCAATACTATTTTCTAGTTTTTTTTTGTGCATCACATTGAAGACCCAGCAAAATGACTTTAAGCAGTCACAGCAGAGCTTGTAGAACTTCATGATGAGTTCAGTTCATCTGAACTACATTGTGTTTTCTCATGCGTATAATCAGCAAAGGAGAGACCAACCTGCTGTGTGCATAGGTCTTACTGAAACCTTTGGATTCTCATAAGCAAACTAAATCAATAGAAACATACTAGGGAAAGATTGAAAAAACCTGGCTACTTCAGAGGCTGAGTTGCCACAATGGCAAAATACAATCATCCAAAAACATAGGCCACTCTTTGAACTGAAATAACAATGAGAAAATATTCAACATTCATTCATGGGTATGAACAGTATACCAATGGCTTTCTGCAAGTTATCAAATTACCTGGCAAATATGTTTGAAGGCTGGCTGGTTTGAATGAACCAACCAGCCACAGACCACAAGGAAGGGCTAAAATAACCAAAGTCAAACAAATCAAAGGGTTCTTTGATCATCTCTCTCTATAAGGCTTGAGTATGGTAAAACCACCATTGTTCAGACAGTTAAGCCATGATAGGATTATTTGCTTGTTACACCTTCATGGTACAACCCAGACACTTCATTTTTTTTTGCATCTGGCAGAGCAATACGAGTAGGTAAGAGTGTGATGAAGATGATGACCATTGAAGCCTTATAGCTTCCAATGGAAGCTATAAGGCTTTGATGGCTTTTTTGGTTTAAAATCATCATACAGTCATCATACATTTGAATCAAATTAACCTCTCACACATTTCATGCATGAATAAAATTCTAATTTAGCTTCGTAACTAAACATTTTAAAAATAAGTTTTGAAATTAAACTACATAATAAGTTTATTGAAAATTAACATATAAAATTATGCAGCTTAATTAGTGGTCAGAAATCCAACCTAGACTATCCATTAACCCCTTTACTGGCATGTTTTCAGACACAAATTGTTTTTTAAACGAGACCAGCTTGTCCATGCCAGTGAAGGGGTTAACCTCACTGGCAGATGAAAATTTAAATCTCCAACTTCCTCTTGAAGGTGCCATTGCATCTGCTGGGCATCAAGAGATGCTGAAGCCAGAGAAAGGGTTAAGTGCTTCTCAGCAATCCCATTATACTTTCTGTAAGTAACCTGGAAAAGCAAGATAAAATAACTGAAACAAGAATTTCTGGAAATTAAATATTAAAATTTTTTTTTTAAACCTAAAAATTCCCTCTCTCTGATACATTCTAAATGCCTGCGAATACCTGATTGATATTGAGAGCAAGTTATCAAATAGATGGCATAGCTATGATAAAGCTGACAGCTGTCATTTAAAAAAGTGACACCAAAATTGGATCTTTGACACTGTGCAAATAGCTGCACAGTGTGAGATGCAGAGGTTCCCTACCCTGATCCAGAGGTGCTGGCTGAAGGAGAATGGCTTCCATGCAGCTTTTTTAGAGATTGGACCTCCACACCTAATACAGTGCAGCTATTTGCAAGTGGTGTTAGGGATTTGATTTTGGCTTAGGGGGTTACAGTAAACAAACAAATAAATGAAATCATAAACCTTATTGAATGAATTCTGCTTCTTTGGCTCAAGAACCATTGTTCTAGTCCAAAAAGTACAAAAGTTATTACAATTTTAAAATAGGGAATGACTTTCAAAACATCCAGTGTAAGTGTGTAAGATCATACAGAAGGAGCCTCAACTCCAATCTGAAGCAATTAAGTTTTCAGGAAGTAGGGAATGAAATACAGTCTATGCTCTAATTTTTTAAAAGATCAGGCAAACATAGCAACAGTCTATCTTACCTCAGTGAGTTGGGACTTGTTCAATCCGGGCTGTGCACTTAGTTTGTAATGTTTTCTGTATCTCCTTAAGGTATTCAACTGGAGCTGAAGCCAATCAATCTCCGGACGATCCCCATCAGCTTCATTACTTTCATTGTCAGAGTCCTTGTGCTTCCGTTTTGTCCTTGCTAACTGTATCACATTTTTGTGAAAATCACAAATATACAGGTGCCGTGCCTGGACAAGAATAAAAACAAAATCATTTGTTATTCCAGATGTCCAGTTTCTGAAATGCTGTATTCAAAATTTCTTAGGCATGGTGAAATAGGATTAGGAAACTATTCAGAAGAAAGGTCATTCATGGGGCAGAGAAACTTCATTCTCAATGTGACCATCTCTGGCCTAAACTGCTTATTTCATCTCATGTGATGGATATGAAATGACAAAAGATTACAGCTATCACCAGGGGTTGCAGATGACAGACTGCATCACTACTGTAAATACATTTTAAACATGTATTCAGGAATTGCCTTAACCCCTTAAGTGGTTGTCCTATATTCAATTGAATCAGAGCGAGATTTTCAGTCACATTACATATATGTATGTATGGGATTAGTTCTCGATTGCATCTTTGTTCCTCATTTTTGCAGATAGACAGCATCAGCTAGCATTTTGCCTTGTAAGGTAACAGTTGTAAGATAAATGAATTCATTGTTAGAGCATTAAAAAACCTTTTTTTCCCAGAGGGTACTTCACAATGCTTTCACACTCAAATCATGTGGCTACTATGGTTTGAACAAGGCCTGAACTTCAGGCAACATTTGAGGAATTAATGAACATTTCAAACAATATCAATGGTCCCTTGGTGTCAGGGACAAACTGAATGGCTTATGAAGTTGAATCACAAGGGATTGAAGACATTGAATATACTGATGATTTACTATGCAGGGCATGGATGGTCTGGCAAACAAAAACATCAAGGAAGGGCCCCATTTGTACCACTTGGCTCCATTGTAAAAAAATATAAAATAAAAATAAAAATAAAATAAATTATTTTTTAAAGTCTGGTTAAAGCTTTGCTTTTTCTTGATACTTGCCCTATCATCTATAATACAAATTTCTAATAGTCACACACAATAGAAGTAAAAAATTATCAACATGGCACAACCCACATCACTGTTGTTTTGAGAGTGGAAAGACATACATTTGTAAAGAGCAAAATTGCATGAAATCTATGCACCCAAAATTTAGGCAGTGAGTTCACCACCACCACCACCACTGGGACTATCATAAAACTGAGCCCCACACCCAATACGTCATGAACTTAGCCCATGGTACATTCAAACCAATGCAACTGAGAGTATTCATTCTGTTCTCAAAACTGTTCAAAACAGAATTCAATTTTGGCATTACTTTTTACATATCATCAATCAAAGCAGTGGTGCCACATTTATCCATGGTGCTAAAGGGAATGAAACACATAACTTACTAATGGATCTACTTGAAGCTTCAATTTTCTTTGTGCAACAGTCTTCTCTATTCTCTTGCTGTAAGATGCATTCCCTGCAGATTTCTTGCAAGGATCTCCTTGATCAACTAAACAACAAGTCTGACTATAGTAGCTATGGCAGTCAATGGTATCATCCATTGCTTTCATCTGCTGGAAGAAAACCATCCATAGAGATATGTATGTACAGTTGGAAGAGACAAAGGAAAATATAAAATAACAGTGTCTATTGGTTGAGCTTGCTCATGTCTCCTCAGCTGATACCTACATTTCATAGAAGAGAGCTTGGCATCTAAGTTGTGGCCAAGCTGGTTTTTTGAAGTGAAGGAGAATGTCTAAGGTTAGGTCTGAAAGTAAAAAAAGCTTGTTGCATATTCCAGAGTGAAGGCTTTCATCGTTACAATTGCCATGTACTTTGTTTTCAGCAATTTCATTCTAAGAGTATCAATTAAAATGCAGGATTTGACAAAAGTTATATAGTCTGGGCAAGGGCTCACTCATCCAATTTGCAGGGAATAGAGCACTTAATGAGTGATTTTAAATGTTTATTGCAAAGCAGGTGTCTTCACACCAAGGAAGAATTTATCCCCTTTCCTATTTGAGACATCTTAAATTAGTTCAACTGCATGTCATTTCCTATCCTGAAATAGCATGAGCAGTTTTTAAATGACTACAACATCCTTCAATACTGAAGAGCTGTCTAGTTTTGTGCCAAAAGATTGTTCAAAATCTTCCGACAAAACCAAGGAAGCACTTTCCTCTATCATGAAAGTCATATCTGTTTGATGGGCAAGTGGAAACTTTATCATGTTAGGAGTGATGTAAGAAGTCACTATTCTCAACTTTGCTCTGAAGTTGGGTCCAAGCCAGCTTAGTCAATCGACACTGTAAAAATACAATGAACAAATAATATATATGTATTTACTTGAAAGGGCTTACAGTCAATTCATAACATATCCAGCCACACATGTATCTTAAAGCAAAGTTGTTCCTTCGCTAACAGCATAAACAGGAACGTCAGTGTTAAACAAAATACACCGGTGTCCATCCTTCCTACGAAGCATTTCAATGCGTCGGCAGCTGCTGTTAGAACCCTCAACCTTCATCTTTGGCTGGTGAAGTCGTGATGCACTAGACCTAGGCTTATCTTGAATCTAACTGTAAAGTTGAGCAAAAGTGAAAAACGTGCAATGAATTCAAGCTACACCACGCAATCTAGTTACTTTTAAAGTTGAGAAACACCCAATCATCGTCCTGGCCAAGATAAAACTTCATGCATAAAATGAATAGAGACCTGTATCAAAGCCCAAACTATTCCAAAAGGATCAACTCACTACGTCATGGTCCATGTGCAGGTGCAAGTTCGACACATGGCATCCGGCATGATTGCGAAGGGCGGAGCTACAGGCGGAGCGACACATTCAAGTCCGTAACATTCAGCGGTCAGAGCCACAGGGGTAGCAGACGACGCGTGCTTGCCGAACGTAAGTTAATATCTTGGATGCTATTGGCTTTTGGAACTGCACTACGTGATGAGAGAACGTCTCTCATTGGCTAAGTTTTCGCGCGGGACCCAAGTTAACGAATCGGAATATTCCTGTAGTTCTGAATGCTTCCACGATGCTGTGCTAATAGCGGTAGGCCTATATAGCGTCCTTATACCCCTACGTCGTTGACCGTGTTGTCCGGTAAGGGATTTTTTACTTCAAATTCGTGCCGTTGCGGACCTAGCTTAACTATACCCATGCCCCTGCCGGCTCCTTTTGCGCCTTAGCATTATGCCTACGGTACCTTATCGATTTGTTTAAATCTGTAACAAGGAATTTTCGAAGTAGGATTCGACGACATGGACAGAAAAAGGAGAAGTCTTGCTTAGGCCTACCTTAGATTCTAGTCTCAGTCCTACGAATATCCGTTGAGCGAACTATGCACCAGGCGTTCCCATAATGTCGACTATCATTAGTGTAGGTCTAGGCTAGCCTAAGGAATCGGCTGCTGCTCACGAGAAGAGCTCTTAAAGGCAAGACCTTTACCTCAGTACAATTTTGAGGCTTTGAATTTTTTGTCACGCTTTAATTGCTGTGGTAGTATGAATTTCAATTTTGCCGAAGTTAAGGGTAGACCTAGGTTAAGTGTATCATGACATGATTTATCCAGTATTGATTTAGGCCTGTGTCCTATTTATTGAAATTTTACAAGAGTAGGTTTCATTTAATTCTATTGTGAAAGCTCCAATCATCAGGTTAAGGTAAAGGTTGCATAATATCTTCCCCCCCCCCCCCAAAAAAAAAAAAAAAGATGTCACAATTGATCTGGTGGATTCAGAAACATTGAAAGATGTAAAGGTGGAAATCTTGATTGCTCAAATCTACCCAAGGTCACACTTTACCTTCCAGTCCCATACTAAATATGACTACTGCTTCAACTATTTGTATTGACCATTTCTGGGGCTGTCTTCATGCCAGCATTGCCATTTCTAGGATGCCCTTGACGAAGTAATTCTCTGTTAGATCTGGAAGATATAACATTGTCATTGCTTGAATGAGTCAAGTCAAAATAAAATGTTGCACATTACTATTGGGGTGAAAACATTGGTGTGCTTAAATAGTTACAATATTGCCTATTGGTAAATATTTACGTAATTGTTAGTAATTGTCACAGTTCTGGTGGAGAGATTTATCTCTGTTTTCTTGAATTGCAGGTATACTTCAATTTCACTGAAATCATGCCCCGTGCAAAAGCTGATGCTGATAAGCCCCGTGGGCGTATGTCAGCATATGCCTTCTTTGTACAGACGTGCAGGGAGGAGCATAAGAAGAAGCACCCGAATGAAAATGTTGTATTTTCAGAATTTTCGAAGAAATGTGCAGAGAGATGGAAGGTGAGTTGAATATTCAACATTATTACCCAATACATGGGGCTTTGTGAGTTCATATAGTTACTGTAGATTCTAATAGAATTGAGAATTTTAAAATAAAAAAATTTCCTGCAGAAAAAAAAAAAATTCTGTGCTGAAACTGTTTCTACTTTTTCCAACAAGCTGTAGTGATAGTGTAACTGGTCACAGTAAAGTGCATACCCCCTAGGAATATTGTGTTGTCCCTAAATGCCAGGCCAGGCTATGTTGGTATATAATATAAATAAATGGAATCTCAATGGATGTGGCATGTTTCCAATGGAAATAATCTATAAAAATTGTAGACTGGGGGTGTGGAATTTCTCCAGGTTGTATGCACTTAACCATTACCAGTGTAATGTACCAGTTACCATGAGAAGTCACATAGCTCTTGCCTGTGGGGAGCTATTTATGTCATTCTGAAACCTATGTTCCTGTAATATCTTTACTGCCTTATCCATCATAACATCCTTTGTATGGCTTTTGCCCATCAACACAGACTATGAATGAGAAGGAGAAGGGTCGCTTTCATGAAATGGCTGCAAGAGACAAGCAGCGCTTTGACTCTGAGATGAGCAACTACAAGAGCACAGGAAAGGGTGCTGGTGGGAGAAAGAGGAAGCGTGCAAAGGATCCTGCTGCACCCAAAAGAGCCCTGTAAGTCCATTCTATGTGTTACATGGGAATAACCGAAGCTTCCTTTTTGCTACATGCTATTTTCCAAACCCACACCATTTTTTTAAACCAAAACAAAGCTGATAGTCATTGCACTGGAACATGAGTGTAATAAAAATGAGATTTGTAAAACTGGGTGCTTGTCAGTTGTTCTGGTAATTTCTAGACATGAAACTATATTGTATTTAGGCTGATATCAATTTCTGTACATTCAAGTACTAAGAATTAATTCTTTGGAGGTGAACAATTCATTGGAGGTGAACAAATTGTGTTCATGAATCATAGAAACTTCTTTTAGCGTTTTTAGACTTGTGGAAATCAAAAAGGCAACAGATCCACATAGTTCCAATATGTGGATCCTCATAATTTCTAAATAAAGTAAAGGATTAACATATTCTTGAAAGATTCATTACAGAAAATAAAATCGCAACCTTCCAATAAGAGAATGCCATTGTGAGAAGCAATGAATGTTAATGAGTATGGCAGAGTGAGGAGGCCTCAGAGTTTTAGTCTGCCCCCCCCCCCCCCCCGGGATAGTTGTTATTACGCGTACAGAAACAAATCTCGAGACGCACTTTTTTCACGGTCTCGTTTCTGCCCCAGTCCTGATTCAAATAACTCCTTGGTATATTGCACCCACGGACTTTCCCTTCACCCCTGCTTCATCGCTCTGTGAAGCCATCCGTTCCCGTGTTCACACTTGAATATTCCGCTATTTCAGGAAGTAGACAGCGGCAGTCGGAATTCTACACTTCTCACTCTCTAGCCGCAGGACTTAGTTACATGCATGTCCCCGTACGTAAAGCTTGCCAAAGCAAGTCTTGGTGCCTGTGCCTACTCGTGAAGGCCTACACCCAAGGTCAATGAGGTTACCACGCGGCGGTTGCCACCAATTTCCCCGCACTCTCGAATGGTTTAGGAATTGGGTCCTTATCTCTGCGTTTACCCTTCGGATATCCCGTCCCGTGCCCTGCTCGAGGAAGCAGCTCATCGTATGGGTTTACACGTTTAACGTTTGGGCTATCCATGAGGAAGTAAACTAGGCGGAAGTTCGAGACACCGGAGAGATGACGAAATATGTTGAGATATGGCGAAAGACATAAACCCTTCGCACACACAAGGACCAGGATTTGGACGCAAACTGCCTTTGCGCTGTTTTCAGATTGAATTCGCACCCCTCCTCACAAGTGCGTTTCCATTGATTGCAGGTAGTGACACCTTCCGTAAGGGTGGCTTTTTGTTTCAGGTGTCCTTCCAATATTAGTTATCAGTTGGTTATATGTACAAGGTGGCCACAAAGCCCCTTTACGTGGAAAAAAGATCATGTACATATATTCCAACGGCTCCGTGTGTTGCCCTCCATTCTCAGCTCACAACTGGATTTGTGCCCAAGTTCTTGATAAATTCTCCGAAGTGGGAGGCCGCATACTGTAAAAGCAGTTCTGCACAGCTGTTTTGAGTTCTTCAGTATTTGCCAGTCTTGAGTATATTCTCCTTGATAATTCCCCAAAGGGAATTTTCACGTCAGGTCTGGGCTTCGGGGAAGCCACATCGTGTCAGATTTTCGCCCAATCCACGATCGTGGATCCACACACTTGTTACTAGTCTTTTCTCAATCCTAAACTCACTAAAGCCTGTCATGTTGAAACCCCACCTGGAAATACAGTAATAAAAAAAGGACATGAATATTTCATGCAAAGTGATTTTGTGGCCACCCTGTAGTATTGGGTTTATGTTATTAATCGATAAAATGTGTTTGCTTATCTAATTCCCTTATTACTACATAAATTATACAGAAAAGAATATTGAATTATTTAATTTTTGATTTTGATGTCTCTTAATGAGTAGATCTGAGGTTACTGCAAATTTAGATATTCAGTCATTTAAGGATAGCATAGTTATCACAGGTTGTTGTGTGGGTAGTGTATTGTGGAAGAATGAGAACATTGCAGTAAGTTTTACTTATGGTTCACAGGTCGGCCTTCTTCTGGTTCTGCGCTGATGAGCGACCAAAAGTTAGGGCATTGAATCCTGACTATGCTGTTGGAGATGTGGCAAAGGAGTTGGGGAAGAGATGGGCTGATGCCACGCCTGAGGTCAAGTCGAAATACGAAGCCATGGCTGCCAAAGACAAGGGAAGATATGAAAGGGTAAGTCCTCTGAGTCTGTCTCAGTAAAGCAATTTGTTTTTGGGGGGATATGTTAACCTCTATGACATCGTACCTCCATAGAGTGCTTTCATAACTCATGCAACTTAGAAAATTAGCTGCCAGTAAATGTCCTTTTTTGATAATGATGAAAAGTCATAAATGCAAGGACAAAAATTTTTTTTCAGCATTGAGTTAGTCTTTGAGGTCAAGTGATGTTCTTCATTGTGAAGCTGCTCTTCATTTCCTTCATGTTGCTTTACACATTTTGTAATCCTCTCTGTGAATCACTCGGGGTAGTTTTTGCTTCAGTCGACCCTCTTGAATAGACTCAGACAGCCTCTAACATGAGAATGTTTTGAATGGTATTCTTCATCTTACATGTTACTTCAAGATGAGTGCTATGATTGTTGATCATATAAACAAAATGTCTCTTGAGTCAAAAGTCCTTTTTTCTTCCCCCCCCCCCCCCCCAGGAAATGACTGCATACCGCAAGAAGCCCAAAGCCAACTCAGCAAATGAGGAAGGGGGTGACGATGATGATGAGGAAGAAGAGGAAGAGGATTATGATGATGATGAAGGAGATGAGTAGATACAGATTTCCTTCAAGCGGTTATTTGGGTGTCTCCTCGTGGTGAGGCTGATGTAAATAGTTGAAATATGTGACGCCGAAAGTGACAATATGGAGGGAGAAATCTTAGGAGATGGCTTCAGGACATTTTCAACACGGCAACCTGAATCTTAGGGAGAGGTTATTTTTGAAGTGCGTAATACTCACATGTCATCTTTCAGCTGTCACGCCGCACACTCATCATTCCCTCCATGGACTCTTCATCTTACTACTTTGAATGGACCTAATTTATTTATGAGTAAATTGTGTCTCTCCCACTGCCTCATGCACCACTGGAGTAGGTTTGACCGAAATGCTGTGGGAGGCAGCCGAGGTGGCTGTGTTCCAGAGTACAAAAAAATGTGGCTGTAGAAAGTGTGGCATGTTGACATTGGGTAGGCACATGTTCCTGAACTGGAAGATTTGAACGTATCCAGTGGATTCTCCATCGTACCTTTGTCCCATTTGATAAGAAGAACTGTTCTTCATCTGCTCAGTGACTGGTTCCCCTTCATGTGAATAAAACTCCTTTCTCATTCCATTCTTGTCTGTTTTGTGTGTTGAAGTCTACTTCCTGCATATGTTGTCTGTGCATCTCATTTCAAACGTTAAGAATTAGGATGCTGTATCCTTGTGCATGTAGTAATCAGTAAATGCATTTACTTGTGTGCTGCACTTGTTCCTGCACTTCCATCCATGTGGCTTTTTTAACTGAATCACTTTTCATATGAGAGGACCTATGTGAGAGTTTGGAATTTAATAACCCAAGAAAAGTTAAATGAAAGATGGACGTTTTCAGATGTTTACTTGTGAAAGTTGCAGCTGGTTCCTGGTGTCTGTTGTGCACTCACTGGCCAAAATAATAGGAACTCCTTGTCTAGTCGAATAGACTCTCCCAACTGCTGGCAATGCAAATTCCAGTGAACACTGAGTTGTGCTGGATCCTCTGAGTCTTATGCAAGGTCACATCAATGAAGTGACGTGTGTGAGTCTTGGGGTGACCAGGTGCTTCCAGCGATGCACGTTACTATCCTGGCGGGAACGGCATGTTCCAGGATGAGACAGGCTTCCATCACCTTCCCTGGCCAGCTCAATCCTATTGAAAACCTGTGGTACGTTTTGGAACGTGCGATTTGATCACACACCCTTACCCTCATCACAACCGCAACTGGAGGCGATCCTGCTGGAAGGATATAGGGTTGGCCGCTAATATTCCAGCATCGTATGGAATCGAAATGTCACGCGGTGTTCAGGCTGTTCTTGCTGCTTATGGAGGCCCAACAAATTATCGGGTAGGAGTTCCTATATTTTGGCCAGTGAGTGTACATTCTGTCCAGGAAGTGGTACTGAGATTAATTTTTACTCCAGTTATTCCAGACTGTCAAATTTGTTGTATATAATCATTTGGAGTCATCCTACTACATGAACTTTATTGGACTAGTTTTTTTCTATTAAATATTTAGTTTCAAATTCACCGGAAACTTTAATTCACATGGGAGGAGTCAAGCGTACCTCTATGCTTATGTTCTAACGACAGTGTATCTGACAGCATGGAGGGATTGTCGCGGGGGAATTGGAAAGAAGTGTTCGAGCTTTGTATAACTAGCCGGAAATGAATGACTCCAGTCACAAGATTGTATGGATAGAACATTAACATTTTGCCTGCAATCCTGCACAAAATGGCGCCCGGTTGAGACCCTCGTTTCCTTGCTGCACGGAGACAGCTTTCCCTGTAGCTCGAATTTGGAAATTTTGTGGCTGCAATAAGTTCAAGGTCGAAAGATTCCTCGTCGGAATCGCGCATTCTAGAAGCTTTTTATGCAAAAACTGGTAATGGAATCGAATGGGAAGGGCCGCAGTGAGACATGGCCCAGTGCGACCAAATAAATTAACTCTGCTTAATTTTTTTTGAAGAAGTCACCTTTAGCAGGCTAGTTTATGGGTCCCATGTGTCAACCATTCTCATGAGAAAGGACAGCACCTTATTTCGTGGGAGGACTCTCACGGACGGGTCATTCATGGAGGCTCATGCGTTTCCGTGTACTCAGGGTGTCAAAATCCGAACTAACACTGGCCCGAGGGTTCCTTGCTGACTCATCCGGTACTCGTCAGTGCTGAAAATGATCGCATGCAATGGAATTTGAATTGTGGGCCTCGAAAGAGATGTGGAGCCACGGGAGGGTGACGAGACACCTCCTCTCTCCCCTCCAGCATACTTTCTCTTGAAAAACTCCCTGCTTCCTGGAGGCTGGTTCTGTCCCCTCTGCGCATTCTGCCGTGAGTGTGTTTTCTTTCTCGGCCGGGTGGACCTGTTCTGGACGTTTTTCTTCTCTGCGTCAGATCCTGTTTCCATTTTCTCTTCTCTACGCTTTGTCTCCGTGGATGAGTGTATGTCCGAACGACTGATTATGAGGCTTTCCTCTAGTATATTTTTTACTGTCGATGCTCGCTACCTTTTTCTTCATCAATGGTCGCATCTGCATTGTTAGCAACGGTTGAAGTAATAACTACGCGATACCAACATAAGGACACGTCAGAACGCCACACGATAGAGGAAACAACTCTCGTAATCTTTATTGACTCAACGTCGCGGTGCTACTCAGGAACATCCTCATGGCAGGCTTATCGTCGATGGGGATGAGAGGTGCGGCACGACCGAGTTCTCTTTCAGCTCTTTTCATATCCTCCCAGTAGACTTCGAGCCTTCTCATGCCGTTCGAAGTGACACTTTTTTTTTTAAATACTTTTGTAACTTCAAGCGTTCCGAGGCGCTGGGGATTGTTTGAAGAACTTCCGTTGCCAGTCAATCGATCTGCGAATTCCACTTCGCTCATCTGACAACGTTTTTGCCTTTGCTAGCCATGGGGGCGACCTGTTCCATCGCAGTCTGAGTTTTTACCATTTTTTTAATCATCGTATCTGAATTCAGCGATGTCATCAGGCGCATATTCATCATTTGTGAAGCTCCACAACGCTGCAGGAAATGAACCAGATCAACGCTGATATCATAATAGGAATTTATGAGAATCGATTTAATTAAAGGGCTGAATCTTTTTTTTTTTCAAAGTCTCTGCGCACGAAAATATGATGACAAAGCAGACGAAAAGAAAAGTTCCACCCAGACCTGTAGTTGCGAAATACTTTTTTGGCTAATGAGAGATGACTGAACTGATTTCATCCTAGACTAGTGAAACAATTCTTTTAAGCTTAACCAACTTCATCTGCATTTTTAGAGCTATTTTATAGTTCTAAAAATGCACTTAGCTAAAATAACACGTCAATGACGGTAAATGTGATGAGTTTCGCCAGCGGTCAAGAAGGAGGTTGATCGACCCGGTAACAGGAACTGCATGCCAAATGATGCAGTTGAAACTGCAGCCGTTGCAGACGAATGACGTATGGCGCGTAGTGGAAACAGCTGCAGTGCTTCCCATGGTTGACTAGCAAATGGCTTCGGTCTGCTGCCACGTGCTCCAAGCGTTTTTCACGCTTGACGTCAGGTCCGCCTCCTCAAACTGCTAAAGGGCGTTTCACACTTAGCGTGTCATGCGTTCTTAGCGTGGATGCTTGAGCAGGCAGGCAGACGCACGCGTGCACACGCGTGTCCACTTATGTTCTAACGTTTTCACAGAACACAAGTCTTGCGAGTGGAATTGGGATGAGCTCTATTGAAAACGCAAGCCTTGCGTTTTGTGAAAACCTTCGATGTGAGTGGACATGCATGTGCTCGCGTGGGTCTGCCTACCTGCCTCAGCATTGACGCAAAGGATGCATGACACGCAGTGTGAAACGCCCTTTAGGTCGGAGTCACCCCCCCCCCCCCCCCAATAAAAAAAAAAAAAAATCGCCATACTCACGCGCAGACAGACACACGCACACGAATGGGGTTGAAACCTGGTGTATCAGAGGTCTGTGCCAATGACGGCGATCACGTCGAACTACGACATATTGGATATAAATGAAACAATGAAGGTGGACTCACGGTCTAGACTCTAGACAGTCGAGCGTGAAGGAGCCTCCAGTCCCATCGTCTCTTCACAGAAGGATCCGACCCAGCCCCTAGGGCAGTGATAGCGCACTCGAACACCCACGGACCTGCTGACATACCGATCCCAGAGGGCTTTATGTGGGGGTTGTGGAGGCTCCCCAAAATAAGCGACCCAGACTGCAGGTCGAATTCATCAACTACAGGGTGTCCCACTCGAAAACAGGAAACCGTTGTTTCCTGTTGGAGGCTGTCTATCGCCGCAGTCGAGATTGTTTGTTGTGGTACCGCAGGAAAAGACTTAAAAGACTCATGCGGTGGCTGGTTGGGTGGTAGGGATTCGTGCTAAAGCTTCCAAAACGGTATGCATTTGTATTTCACGAAGAGCAGTGAGCAGTCAGTGTCGTGAGCAATGCGGTTTTCATTACATTCATGACAGCAGCGGATTTTTATCGTTGAAAATTACATTGAAAGCAAATCTACAGCACAACAGTACGCTTATTTCCAAGAAGACGGAGCCACCGTGCATACTGCACAGACGACTCTCTCACGCGTCCAGAAGAGTTCGGAGAAGAAAGAACCGTGAGCAGAGGCTTGTGGCCACCACGTTCTCCAGATGTGACTGTCACCTTTGGGAGAACCTCATCATTTCTGTTGCCATGGCTGCAATCGTGCCCGAAGAACTACGGACGGTGCCCATTAATATGCCGGCGAGGACACAAAGATGCCACGTCGACGGCACCCATTTCCAACTCCCGATGCAACATGTCACTTCTTGCTCGATTACGTACAAAAAGGACTTGCCGAGCGGGACACCCTGTACCGTTCCCCATCCGCAGAACGAGTGCGAATCCTCTCAAGCATAGGCCCTCCTGTGGAGACTTTATGCTCGAGAAGCCATGCCAGAGCCTGAGGACATCAGCTGCGTTCCCACTCCACGGCTTTCGTTCCGTTCGATGCTAAAATCGTCGGGGACGTGAAGGTATTCATTGCATTTCACCGATCGATGACTGCTGGGAGTCGACGAGCGAGTCTTCACGAAACGGCACCTGCCATAGGTTTCTCACGTGATTCGATCCCAGAATCCGCTCGGTCCATCGAGCGAAGAGACGCGGCTCCCTCTGATATCGATGATAACCAACTTGTGCGGGGGTGCAGCAAAGGGCTCGAGTAAGATCAGGCAAGTTACAGAGATTCCCTCGAGGAACGATTGACGCCCTCCTGACCTCGATTCAATTAAGAGGTCTTACAGGGGGATACGTTCGAGACTTCGAAAATAACTCATGGGAATGGAACGGATTGCTGCAGGAATACATCAGGTGACGCTCAAAATACGTGCCGAGATTTTCGCATTTATTTCTCAACTTCGAAACGAGGCAGAGGCTTGCAAACTACCAAATATGAGTCTCATCTTTCCTCTCGGCCCCATGAAAACTATGCATTTCCAGTTTCCAGAGTACAGAGCTGTTCGACTATGGCACCTCAAATATTTAATATCACGCCTCATCTCATCCGAAAAGACGCGCAATGGGTCCTTCTTTGGCGTTGCACGCGGA